AAAGATCACCGGTAATTGCTTAAGGTTAGTTTACGTTTCTTACTAAGCCGGTAAAACTCGTCCCACAATCAAAAGTTAATGTAAACCAACTCAAGGCATGGCAGCATAGTGGTTTATTAAGTCATAGAGAACGGTTCGTTTGTGGTTTATGCACAGAGACAGACAGATTTGATAGGCAAGATGTTAAACCTGTCTTTTTAAACTGCAGGAAAGCGCAGAATTCTTTTTGCCGCAGACATGACGATGGTCTACCGGCCGAACGAAACACGGAAAATTATGACCATCTGGTTATCATAATCAGTCTAATTTGTATCAATACAAATTAGACTGATTATGAAAAATCTGAATGGCATTTAATCGGCATTCAATCAAGGTACGTGGAAAGTTGACATGCATGATGACCCAATATCTGCAGCAGATATTGCAGTTATCATTTCAAAGTCTGCCCGGTTTCCGAGCCGCTTGTTAGTAAAACTTTTCCAAAGTGAGAGAGAAATGGCTCCCTTTTTTAAAAAAAAAATATATGAATGATAAAATAATATTTTAATTTGACTTTGCATGGTATCCTGAATTATCATACCTCGTGCCTGTGTTATCTCAGACCTTGGTTTGATAATTCAACCTTATGCAGTAATTGTTTAACTACTAGTGCTTTTGTCGCAGGTGATTGGAGATAAGAAAGCAGCTCTGGCTTTAATAATTTTGCTCCAAAGTGAAGGAAGAGAGCATCTTCAAGATTTAGAGCGTAAACTTGGCACAAAGCCTAAATTCATTCACGTTGTGCGTAATCCTTTCGATCACATTGCAAGGCAAAAGTCAAGAAGAACGAAGTCTAGGATAATCTTGAGGTTGGTGGGTGGTCGGAGACATTTATATCTACCTTACAATATACCATAGTATTATAGCTATTTTGAGAGGGGGGGAAGAGACTAAAACTTGGTGGGTAAGGGGGGTGGGGTGGGGGTGACGTCGACCAGCCGACGACGAAAAGCCTTATCCTAGGTTTTGAGCATCTTTATTTGCCATCGAGGTTAAGAAATGCCACGACTTGAGACTCGCTTACTTTGATGAAAAGAACCCATTTTAGCAAGTTGTTCATTTCGAGGTTTTTTAACGTACATAAGAAAAGCCTTTTCTTATGTAAGTTGAAAACCTCGAAATGGACAACTCGCTAAAATGGGCTCTTTTCATCAAAGTAAGCGGTCAGATCGTAAGCGATACACTATGGAAGTAAGGTGAGGTATTTTTTTTTGAGAATTTGACGTATTTTTTTATTTCTTAAAGCGGTCGTAAATATTCCCAAACAAACTGTTATAATTCCTTATTTAATTTTTAATGGCGTTTGTTTCTCTAAAATTAAAATACCCTATATCTTAACCAAACCATGTCATTCTCTACGCCCGTTCTCAAACTTGAAATTCAGCTTTTTGCGCTCGCGTAACTCTCTTGAGACCTATAACGGGAAATTGATGGGCTCAAAAACCCATACCTCCTTGACACGTGCGAGAAATTTCACCCAGCTCACCCATTCCTTGCGGGACTGTCTCAGAGGGGTGATGCCTTTTTATTTCCGTAACCATGAAAACATACATTTTAAAGCGAGTATTTTTTTACGTCAAATGGTTAAAATTCTCAAAACGTCAATTTTTGTGCCTAACTGCTAAACGTTTTTTGCCATTTTACGGCTAACGGTTAACCCGATTGAGACCCTCTTGCAGAGTTTGACCCAATTAAGACCATCTTACAGAGTTTGACTCAATTGAGACCCTCTTGCAGAATTTGACTTTATTACGCACTGAGCAAACAATAAAAACTTATAAGAAATCATTATTCGAAAAAAGAGAACTAAAAAAGTTTCTCCCTTGAAGTCGTCCGTTTGTTTGTTTGCTTTTTTTTAACGCTTATTGATTTACGCCAAATCGCGTTATGATGTGATGTACGGCGTTCGCTCTCGGTTGGTAAACGGGGGCCCAGTACAGTATCATTACAACGTGGAGGGTCAGTGGCAAGGACAGATCAATGAGGATGTACAGGTATAGTTTTCATTTACCTTTAAGACATAACTTGGACACAACGTGTGCTCTAATTGGTCAAAAATCATTGGAAATTTACCAGTATATCCATAGAAAAGTGAAACATCTGCCCATCCAGTAAGATGTCGGTGGTACTAGACCGGTTTTTTTTTTTTTTTAATATTCATTGTATCTATTTAGGGTTTAAGAGAAACAGGCAGCTTATTCACGACTCAACATTCATATAAACTAAATCACCAAGGTTCTATCCATCCTGTAGAAAACATTTTCACCGGACAAACATTCAATGTCTATAATCCAATAGTTGATAAATGAAGTGTAATAGCGGAGCTCGCAGAGCGTAGCCCCATAATTATACAAAATAGTAGTAACACATCAAGCCGAAAAACTTTGGATGTACAAGCGTACGACCGTACAAGGTGCTACTTTTAACAAGCGTTGTCAACTGTACCGCGGGCACGCCAACGCCACGGCTTTGTTCAGTAGTCCAGTGGTCAGTGCACTGGGCTCCGAGTCGGACGACGCAGGTTCTAGTCTTGGCCGGGGCAAGGCGTATTGCCCTTTTGCTTGTGGCAGCATGTGGTTTATTAAGTCATAGAAAACGGTTAGTTTGTGGTTTATGCACAGAGACAGACAGATTTGATAAGAAAGCGGTTAAAATTGTCTTTTTAAACTGCAGGAAAGCGCAGAATTCTTTTTGCCGCAGACGTGACGTTGGCCTACCGGCCAAACAAAACACGGAAAATTATGACCAGCTGCTTATCATAATCAGTCTAATTTGTATCAATACAAATTAGACTGATTATGAAAAATCTGAATGGCATTCAATCAGCACTCAATCAATGTACGTGGAAAGTTGACATGCATGATGACCCAATATCTGCAGCAGATGTTGCAGTTATCACTTAAAAGTGGTTTCCGAGCCGCCTGTAATTCAAAAATTTCCAAAGTGAGAGAAAAATGGCTCCCTTTTACAAAAAATATATGAATGATAAAAAGTAATTCTTTACTTGGGATTTTGCATGGTATTATGAATTATCATACCTAGTGCCTGTGTCATCTCAGACCTCGGTTTGATAATTCAACCTCATCTAATAAATGTTTAACATCCAGTGCTTTTCTCGCCGGTGATTGGAGATAAAAAAGCAGCTCAGGCTTAAACAATTTTGCTTCAAAGTGAAGGAAGAGAGCATCTCCGAGATTTGGAGCGTAAACTTGGCACAGAGCTTAAATTCATTCACGTTGTGCGTAATCCTTTCGATAATATTGTAACTTTAGCGCTTCGCAAGGCGAAAGTCAAGAAAAACAAAGTCCAAGACAACCTTGAGTTTGGTGGGTGGTCGGAGACATTTAAATCTACCTTACAATACGCCATGGTACTATAGTTATTTTGCGATGGGGGTGGAGGGGAGGGGGAGAGACTAAAACTTGGTGAGTAGGGGGGAATGACGTCGATCTACTGAAGACGAAAAGTCTTACCCTAGGTTTTGAGCGTCTTTATTCGCCATCGAGGTTAAGAAATGCCTTGACTTACCTGTCGTTTATCAAGAAGGTAGATTTCTCGCACACAAAAGAGTTAGTAATAGCAATGCCTGCCATTTTTAAAAAAGGGTTTATTAAAGCAACCTGTCATTCTTACTCCCCGTCACAGGTACCCTAGCATTATTTTGCCTATTTGTTTGTCTGTTCTATTTAGCTTTTTCTTTTTTTTTTTTTTTTTTTTTTTCTTTTTTTTTTTTTTTTTTTAGGATGAATTTTTCCTTTGTTTGTTTGTTTGTTTGTTTGTATATGCTGATGCATTTCTTTTGTTATGGTTTTCTTGATAACGTGCTTCCATGTCTATGTTCATTGGTTAATTGCAATGTGATTGTCACGAGGAGCTCGTAGATTCCATAGCGGAATACAGTACCCAAGTGAGGGGAAGTTCGCAAGTCAAGAAGAACTTTCCAGGTCGTGTACTCGACGTGCACGGTATGGGTTTGATGAAAAACCCGCGTGAAACCCTCATGAAAATTTGTGACTTCTTGGAAATTACGTGCACTAAGAAATACTTAGAGGACAGCTCTTCAATCGTTAACCTCGTCCCCTCTCAAACTCGCCAGTTAGTTACGTGGATTGAAAAACAACTAAACAGGATTCAGATGTTGATTAAAAATCATTCATTTCTTCAATCATATTCATTTGAAAATTAAAAGATCTAAAAATGTCTACATCTTTTTTGTTTGTTTGTTTATTTCGAGCCAAAAAACAAGTTCATTTAGGTTACAAAATTACCATCCTTTAAAAACTTGATAGGAAATAAAGAGAAAATAAGGAGAAAAAAAAGCACGTATCACGTAAGAAAGAATGGAAAATAAACCAAAACAAACATGTCACACCGATGGTGGCTAGTTATAAAGTAATTTATGCAACAACATGTTTTCATATAAATCTTAGAACTGAAATTTTAACAAATTAGATTAAAATTTCCTTCTGCCTATAAAGCTAGTTCGAGTAATAAACTGACAATGAAGGAATTTCTCGGTGCAGTAGAGCTGTGTTATGAGGAGGATGCTGAACCGTAATCACATATGTCGGAAATGAAGAGTTGTAGTTCGGTATTGAGAAGATTTGTTCACTATCCGTCTTGTCTCGAGCGTGGGATAACGAAAAAAAGTTCCGAGTCCCTACGAGGAACCCATCCCCAGACTTTCGGATTCCGCACTCGTTCAAGGCCAGGGAAATATTTTGGTTCTTCTTTTTTTTTTCCTTCGTTGTTGTTGTTTTTTTGTTTGTTTTTCTCTTCTCATTGGAAATATTTCACATCAAAGGTTTGTGTTGCGCTGTTACAGACGTTCGGTGGATAAAACGGAGAGAACTGCTAAATGGTTCTATAGTAGCGGTGGAGAGAAAAAGTGAGGGGGGCTTGGGTATGAGTTTCTTCTTTTTTCTGCTCCTCAGTGTCTGTCACACGTGAGTTAATGTAGAGCTTCGTTTTACAAACTGAACCGGCGCCTGAAACAAGCTAAGGTCTCCTCTACCTTTGCCTCGTAGCTGAATTTCTGTCGTCGGTTCAAACCCACGCGATTTTTTGAAACGAATATTTGTGTCAAAGTGCGGATGTCACAATATTTGTTTTTCAAAATGAATAACACGTAGTTTTGTTTGCACATATGAATCTTCACGACAGCTCTACACGCAACTCAAAGAACACTCATCACCAGAGGCTCTGAAACAATCACACAGTGTTACTTCCAATTTCAGGCCTGTTTTCAATATTCCAGGATCACAATCGCCAGATTACTTAACAAGGTATGTTTCCAGCGAAGGGTAAATTAGGTTATTTATTCTATAGCCGGTTTTACATTCTCGTAAGCAGAAAATTTTCTTTTAGAAGATTTTAGCTTGAACAGGTTTAATGAGTCTGTTTTTGTGAATAATAGCAAAATTTTGGCTCCCAAAGTATTAGCTTCGTTTGTCATCCCTTTAAAGATTACCTGATCTTAATTCGCTGCCCTTCAAAGTACGTGCAAGAATTAATTTATAACTATTGGCAACCTAAATTTAAAAATTTTTCGGTCGTGGTTGATTGTTTACCTAATTGTATCTAATTACGCAGCACATTCTAGTTTCTTTACTGCACGCGACAGAGAGAAAAATTCCTTCCCGAAACAATTTTATCATGACATGTTTTTCAATTGCTTAATATGTTAAACTGAAATGGAATGAACAGAAGTTATTCGCATCCTAAACAAATCTTCGCCTTTCTTCGAAATCCTCGTCGTAGAATTAGCTTATAGAACAGGTTGTCAGGTCAAAGATGACAACAATAACACCACGCTTACAAGAGTTACAGGATTTGTTTTTCAGAAAGGACCTAACGATCAGATCTAGGTCTTTCCTGCGTTTGCAAGTTAACTAGGCGGGTATAAAATTAGTTGTTCTCGAGCAAAGCACGATGCAGCTATTGTTTACAAAAGAAACCCTGTGCAATTATTTGCAGAAATATTGCACAACCACAAGTATTCGAAGACCAAGGTCATGTTTCATTTTCAAACGCAAGATTCCTTGGCCGAAAAAAGGCCTCCTCTTGCCATCTAAGCGATTGTTTTAAGAAATTTTTAATTAAGATTGATAAAAGGGAACACGAGCGGCTCCAGTTGTGACATGATCATCGTGCAAAATAAGAGTCATGGCCTCGTCATGGGCCTCGTCATGTGCCTCGCCAGGGACCACACCGGTACTGGCATCAACAAATTTTTTTTAGAACCACGGGTGATAAGTGACGGTGTGGTCCCCGGCGAGCCACAGTTTGCAAAGGAGGCAGGGTTACCAAGCTGGTTTTCAACGGTTGTGTGACGTGTGAAAGTGAATGTGGGCTGTTAGCGACGTCTAAACTGGAAACTTTTGAAGCAAACTGCGGCTTAGCGTCGGCTTCACGAAGAAGACTGAGTATGTGGTGAATTGAAATGAAACTACAGTATATGTGCTTGGATTATGCGTTCGATATGTGGCCGCCCGGTCATGTTGAGCTTGGAATATTTTGCTTCTTGGATCAGGCGTTCGGAAATGGAGTGTGCAGCCCTGGCCTTCTCTTAAGTAGTAAACCTAAAAAGAGATAACTCACTAAAATGGGTTCTTTTCAACATCGTATACGGTCAGATAACAAGCTCTGCACTGTGGAAGTAAGGTGAGGTATTTTATTGAGAATTTTACTGTATTTTTTTATTCCTGAGAGCGGTTGTAAATATTCCCATACAAACTCTTATAATTTCGCAATGACTCATATTTTGCAAGATGATCATTTCACAGTTGGAGCTTAGGCCGCCTGTGGGGGGAAAGGAAAAAGCAGGTATTACGTCTTTAAATACCACGTTAGGCAAAAGTCCGTTTTTAAATAAGATTTTCATTTGAAATTGTCACTAAGGCAAATACATTGTGCTCGACTGAGCATTTCCCTCCTCCTGGCCTTTGAACTGTCGAAAAAAAGGATTTTTTTTAAACACAAAAATTGTTAGACAAACACACGCAAAGGTGACTAGTTGACGCTCGTCTCTTGTCTCAGGCTGTATACAGGAAATCAAATAAGCTAATATTAACCTCTATTGATTGCCCGCTTGGAGAAATGACTATCAGACGTCTCTTACTAGGGAGTCTAACGGAGATGAGAGACAGAGCTCGAGATTAAGGCTACTAGAAGGACGCCATCGTTGACAATAAACCCAGTGTTAATATCGAGTTACGGTATTGTTTAAACAAGACTTGAAGGAAAATGAAAGCGAAAGTGACGAAATGAGTACTCATCGACAACTCGTGACTGCCAAGAGGATCCATTGACCTTAAAGTACCTCCTGTAATAGACCTTTTTATAGTTCCCTGCGCCGTATTGAAAATGCAACCGCGCGCACGTGAGAACGAGGCTGGGGTTGACTCGCGTTAAATCTCTGTGAGCGCTTTTGGTGAAATTCGTACGTGGGCAGTAAAATTGTTCGATTTTTAAGGAAAATGGATTTTTCTCCCAAAAAGATAGGAAAGCAGTGTGCCGCTTTTGGTTGTTCAAATACATTTTATGGCCCCAATGGTTTGCCAACGAGCTTTCACTTCTTCAAGTTTATGCACGGAGGCATGTATTTTTGCTAAGTATTTATCGTTCTATACTTATCTTATTCTCTGTGAATTATGGATGAGGGTAACTATTGTTGCAAAATAAGTACACATTTTCTAGTAGGTACTTGAATTGTTTTAAGTTCAGTAGAGTTTTTCTTATTCCGGCAGCAAGTCAAGAAGTTCAGTGCTGCTCACCTATTTACTGCATGGCTTGCCTAAAACACTCCTAGCAGAGAAACTCTTGGAAAGTAATTTCTTTTAATAAAATAACCAAGACACTGTATCTTCAGAGTTTTCACTTATTATGGCAGACCCAGAAAACTGACTCAAATTTGGTAGCAATTGTGACAAAATCAGTTTTCAGTGGTTGTTGTTTTTGTTTTTTATGATAGCATAGTAATCCACTATGGATGCCACATGGAACTCTCAAAAAATATTTTGTGTGCTTTATGTATCAATCAATTTGATGCTTCAAATTGAAAAAAAAAAGTGAGTTTCACTAACTAAAAGAGTTCTCGACACAAAGATGAACTATGACACTAAATTTTATTATTCACAAAATTGTCCTCATAATAAAAAGTTTGATAGAAGTCTCGCAAAAAATAATTTCTCATACATTTCAATGGTCTGAAAGATTCTCTTTCAAACAAATCTTATGGTAACTACAACAAGATAAAATAAATATCTTGATTTGGATATATTTCTCAATCTTTTAAGTATCGTCTTTACATCTCAAAATTATATCATAACATTGGTTAGCACAATGTAGTAAGAACTAGTATAGCAAACCTTTGTGTCAGAAGGCCTTTGAGTGCTAAGAATGGGAATATCAATTTATTGAATGTTTATCACTGACAGAAACTTAAATGTGTAAAGGACTAGCATTGTTGAGATCGGTGGCTGAGAGGAAGCATTTCTGTTCTCTTCCTTTAACCCTTAAATACCCAAGATCTGATTGTCAATTCTCCCTTCTAGTTGCTACACATTTACTTGTAAATAAGTTATGAGAATTTGATGTAAGTTCAAGATAACTTTTGCCTGATAAGTTTCAGTATTAACATTATCTGTTTGCTGGATAGTGTTTGGAGAAGTTACATGAATCAGTCACTTCTATGAGTTTTTAAATTGTCTAATATTTTGGTCTGATTCTTTCAATGGTGTCTTGCCACCTAATAAATTACCATGAGTCATGAACTGAAATGGTTTTCAATGTATCACAAGTATAAGTTGTCCTGGGCCAGGTGGGTATGAAAATATTTTGACATCTGTTAGTTACAGTTTTCCTCATGGGTTGATAGAAACAAGGGTTATAATCAAGTGGTTCTACAGGCTCCACTGTATAGTTTCCCATAAGATAAAATGTACAAATCTACTGCTCACAGCAGCTGTACAAAATTATTTTCAATATAATTGGAGGTTATTATAAAATACCATGCCACATTTTTTTATGAGTCGTGAAGAGGAATTTAGCATAACATCGTACAACTGTGGCAAGACAGGAACTACAATTATAGTTAATCTACAATATCGTAAGGGTTTCCTTGTATTGATTTCGGAAAAATTAATGGAAATATTATATTGTTTTAAGTCATTTTATGCAAATTATAAAAAGGGCAGGTTGATTACTTCTTACTCCTTCTTGGTGGTCTTATCTTAAAGTTTGAGTTTGGTCACGTTCTTTTTGGGAGTTTAATCACGTTCTCCTAGTGAGTTTAATCCCGTTTTCGTCGTTGTGATCGTGAGGTTGACATGGAACTCGTGATAAGCCATGTTCTTAATTAAGTTAATTTGTTAGTCCAGGAAGAATAAATCTCCCTGGTAATAGGTCGCGTTCGACACCTTCTTGTCCCCAGAGGTAATTTAAGGTGTAAACAGGTGATACCCCTCATGTTTCGCAACTTAAAGCAACTTGGGGGCGGTACTTGTGAGCGCCTTTCTTCTTTAACTCTTGTGACCAAGATGTTGTTATGTAACAATCTTAAAAGGTGATTTTCTCTTCAGATACCCTTACAGGTATAAACAATACTCTGACACAAGATTACTTGTAATTTTTATATTATCGATCTCGTTTCGGTTCTGACCGATCTCAAGTCCCCGTTGTATTAATTTGTGAAGAAAGAGAATAAAGAAGAATTAACCTATCAAACGACGTGTGCTAGTATCATAGATTGAATTTTTCGTATTTTGTCTCCCTCGTGTGACATAATGAAGTAACTTTTAGTCAATATTTGCAATTTTTAATGTTTTCGAAATTAGGTCGCGGGGTGATCTCCCTTAGGAAGTCATGACGTTTCGCTTTCGTTTTCCATCCTTGATGAGAGAAGCTGCAGCTGAGTTCGCTGCTACCTTCATCTTACTGGTGAGTGTTGCATGAAGCAAATATAGTGAAAGATCTTACCATTTCAACTATATCTGTTATTTCAATAAAGCTGGCGTTCTGAAAAGGAGGGTAAAGTTTTCCCTCTACTTAGCCACTCACAAAATTTTTATACTGTTGGTAGTCTTGATTGATCACTGCTTTTGGAAATAAACAGAATTCTATTCTACAGACTTTTGGAATTGGATCAGTGGCGCAGATGGTTCTCAGTAAGGGGAAGTTTGGAACTTTCTTCTCTGTCAACTTTGGTTGGGGAATTGGCGTAACGCTTGGCTGCTACTGGGCCGGTGGGATTTCAGGTGTGCCATATGGGTTTACCTTTTTAGTAGGTATCAGTGACTAAGAAGGACTTGGCGCACTCAGACTATATCATGGCGATTGTGCAAAACAGGTTTCCAGCCAGTCTTCTTTGGAAGACAAGGTCTTTTACAAGGACTCCCTGGCTCTTTACTCCTACACCTGTCTTTCACCAACACGAAAACCCAAACCATTTTATTCGTACCTACTTTTAATTTCTTTCTAATTTCGTCATTTTACACCCCTTGTCAATCTTCGAAAACCCTAGCCATCATCGTTCGTTTTAGTACCTCTGACCTTCCGAGCTTATCCGACCAAGCAAAGAATTATTCCAAGGTTTATTCAATTTAGAGACGATCACACATTTGCTAGGCTCTCTTGCCCGTGTTGAACCACGTTTCCAAAGGCATGATTAATTAACGTGTAATGATCGTTTGCAGGAGCTCACATGAACCCCGCGGTCACATTGGCCTTTGCCGTCGTCGGGAGACTTCCATGGAAGAAGGTTCCCGTATATTGGATGGCACAGATGTTGGGAGCTTTCGTCGCTTCGGCTTGTGTTTATGGAGTTTATTATGGTGGGTTACTTGCAAGGACCACTAATAGTACTCATTATGATTATTTCAAATAGCTTTAGATCATATTTAAAGCGTTTTCGTGGTTCTCATGAACTTTAAATACAAAATATTTGACTCACAGAATAGTCAATCATCTTGATCCGTCGTTTTCCCTAATTCGGGTGAAAAGTTTTTCATTTCACATTTTTTTTTGTCTATTGTATTAAAGAATCATAAAACCAGGAGTCATAGACTTGACCTAAGGCATAACTAAGTGTCTTCTTAAATCATAGTTTGTTTGTTTGTTTGTTTTTGTTTGCCGGGTCGGCTATTTGTCCACATGACTATTTCTACGGCTGACCATTTGTGACTTCATAGATGCATTGAATGCGTTTGACGGAGGAGTACGACAGATATTGGGTGATAGTGGAACTGCAGGGATCTGGGCAACCTATCCCCAGTCTTTCTTGTCTACATGGAATGGACTAGGAGACCAGGTAAATTCCATATCTTACGTTAACCCTTTAACCTCTGAACATGATCGACATCTAATTTCTCCCAAAAATTCCCGTCTCATTCGCGTTACGTCACTTAATTGAAACTATACTAAAAAAAAGTCCACTAATCAAGGCGTGAAATTGCGCCTAATACAGGCGCCAGTGCGACTAAATTTTTCACTTTGGCGACCAAATCCGAAAAGTAGTCGCCAAATTGGTGACTAGAATGCTTCATCATAATTATACCTAGAGATATAGTGAATTAAAAAGATTTGCAAAGAGAAATCCGCGGCAAACTTCCTCGTTAAGTTTGTTTAATTTTCAAAACGCAGCACATGCATCTTGATCGATAATTAGACGCCATCTTGGATTTAGGTGAGCTTGAAGGTTGTATATCACCCATCCTAGTGTCAACTGTGTAGAACTTTGTAGAACTTAATTTTGGAGGGTCTATCTAGAATGCTGACAGCGTTAAAAAAAAAAAAAAAAGGTTTTGTTTGTCTTTAAAAAATGGCGACCAACCTTTTTTTTGTATTGGCTGCCACTTTGAAAAATTTAGGAGCCAAGTGGCTATCAGAAAAAAAATAATAATTTCACACCCTGCTAATACTATTACCTATTCTTCATTCAACTTTGTTAGGTGTTTGCCACAGCCCTGTTGGTCGGGTGCGTCTTCGCCATCGTCGATAAGAACAATAATGCTCCCGACCAAGGCGTGGCACCAGTCATGATAGGTCTGCTCGTATTTGTGATCGGCGCCACTTTCGGGTTCAATTGTGGTTACGCTATCAATCCTGCGAGGGATCTGGGACCAAGGTTATTTACAGCAGTGGCTGGATGGGGCAGTGGAGTATTCACGTGAGTATCACGTTTATGTTCAAATTCCATCATCGGAGATTCAAGGGAAGAAATTCGGAGCCGCGTTGAGCGGTTTTAAATGTATACCACACGATCTCTAGGGATGTCCTCACTCTTACATGTGCCTTTTATTTTTTTTCGGGACAACTTTCCCAATTAATTCAGTAACATTGATATTATTAGTTGTTTATTTTAGCTTTAAAATGTTATAGAAAACACTTTCCCAGGTTAAGGGTAATCTTCGAAGTTTTTTGTTCTCGTTTCTTTCTTTTCTTTTCTCTGCTCTTGTGTGTTATTGCTCATAGTAGTAGTTACTTCCATGAACATGAAAATTGATTTAAATAGCGAGACGATGACCTCGATATTAGAGTCTCATCATTACTGATTCCTTGAATAAATAATAAAAAATTTTATTGCAGTGCGGCTAACAATTGGTCGTGGGTTCCAGTCGTGGGATGCATGTTGGGCGGAGTCCTGGGTGCCCTGGTATACATTGTTCTTATCGAAATACACCACGTTCCAGGAGATGATGGGGAGACTGGTTACGAACTTCAGTCAGTCTTTTCAACTAATCCCGAGTTTACAAGGTCTAGGACTCAAGAAAATGGTCTGGGTATGGGAAACATGGCCTTTACTGAGGATGGTATGCGTCAACTTACTTGCCAGGGACCTACGATGAGTGTGGTTGAAAAGACATCTCAGCTGTAACTATTTGATGAGTTGTTGCTGTGTATTTAACTCGAAAAAAATTCGAAAAAAAAAAAAATTATTTTGGCTTTTGTAATTGTGTATTCTTATTCTGCATCTTGGCTTTGCATTGGATTAATGAAGTTGATAGAGCCGCTGCATGCAAAGAGTACATTCCAGTGATTTTTAAAATGAAATCATGGCACTCGATGTTCCGACTTAGTCACGCTTCAGTGAATTTTTAATTATGACATATATCATGCTTTTAAAAGACGTTTATAACTAATTAATTAGAATTTGCTAGAAATAAAAGAAGTGCCTCGCAATTTTTTGAAGAAAAAAAATTCACCTTAACAAATCGTTGCGATATACTGCTTTTTTTAATAAATCTTCCAGCGCTGCATTGTTTGATCTGTTGTTTATCGAATGAAAACGTCACAGGAAAAAAAAAGAGAAGCCTTTCCTCCTTACGCTGTGTATGCGAAAATATTTGCAAAAGACTTTAACCAGATTTCCATTTCTTTAGGTTTAGAATTGGGCTCGTAGCCTTTTTACTTTTTTCGCCATTTTTCCCTACTATAGTTTGGGTTCGGACCTGTGGACTTGACAGGAATGTTTGAAGAGAAGAAAGCCCTATGAAAAGGGAGCTTTGTTTTACACTGTAACTTTACAAAAACGACTTTTGACGATGAAAATGTAATATACCCAAGTTTACTTCGATGCACAAGCTCACATTGCATTTAATATAAATGTTCGTCAAGGGGGAAAGACTTATTGCTTCAGCAAAGTCCCTATTATGGTGGACACCCTCTTTACTTGTAGAATGCTAGGTCAGTATATCATCCACCGTGTCCATACATGGTAAGATGCTAAGTAGAGGGTCTTTTTTATCTCTGACCTTATGGCATTGGTTCATAAGATTGAATTTTTTGGCTCATTAAAATTTTATATGTAAAAAGAGGTTCATATTAGCGTTGGAAACGTTCATCTCAAAGCCATGTAAAAACGGTCACCGTTTTAACTAACGAAAGGAGTAAGATGCAGAAAGTGGATCTTGTCGAGAATATTTCAATAGATATCCAGCGGTGCTAGTGCGCATCCTTAGTAACTTAACTACAAAGTGAACATGATATGTATTTATCTTATATAAAAAGCCAACGATTATTTTTTTTTCACAATGTCCATCGGGTAGGTGTCCTCGGTTACTCATGGTTACTTTTGATGGTAATGTTTTCGAGTTCCACTCCGGGCTTGCTTGGATCGTCTTCGGGATGATGCATCTCAATCAGACCGATGTAAGCGAGTGCACCCAGAACTGCACCTAAGAAGCATCCCACGATTGGCACCCAGAACCAATGGTCGCCCGCACTGAAAGAGATGAAAAAAACATTGTCATTATCGAGAATGTTTTGTTCGGTTGATAATTCCTTTCTAACCTTAGGAATCCCACTATTAGGTACGATCTGCAAAGATGCATTAGACGAACAGGCTAAGGGTTTGTTTAAAGTATGGATTCATGGAGTTCGGCCTCTGAGGCTGGTTGGATAAAATACTCACGTAAACACTTCAGCGCCCCAGCCAGCCATAGCAGTAAATAGTCTCGGACCCAGATCCCTGGCAGGATTAATAGCGTAACCGCAGTTATATCCAAACGTAGCGCCAATGACGAACACAGTCAACCCAATTATCACAGGTGTCGCCCCCTTATCAGGAGTGTTATTGTTCTTATCAATGATGGCAAAGACACAGCCAACAAGCAAGGCCGTGCCGAACACCTAAGTAAAACATTAAGTCGTGTTAGTGACGCAATGCTAATTTTAACTGACCCTACGGTTTGGTCCGGCTTTGTCTGCCCATCAATGTTCACGGGCTCATGTTTTCTGGACGTCGAACCGTCTGCAGTTTCTCAATTCCAATACCTAGCCACCTTCTCATTAACCTTTTTCTTTCGTTGTAATTTTCTGCCTGTCTATCTACCTTTCTATCTACCTGTTCTTCTGATCTTCCATTGTATATAGCTGTAGGTATGAACTTTCGTGTCTTGCAATTGTTTTCGTTATTCAGGATTGGAATCAGTGCATCGATTCTTATGCCAATATCTGCCTCCATATATTCTAGTTATATCAATAATTCACTCCTTATAGGCTAACCCCCATCTATTCCAGTCATATCAATAATTCACTCCTTACAGACTAGCCCCCATCTATTCGTGACTGAGTGAGTTGGTCCATCGGTTTGTCTATCTGTTTCTCTTTCTTTTTGACTCTCGAACATGATAATTTGGAGTTATTAAGCATGGCAACCAAATGATTCGCCCTGGTTTACCTGGTCACCAAAGCCGTTCCCAGTTGACAAATAACCCTGAGGATATGTTGCCCAGATCCCTGCAGTTCCTTTCTCACCCAGTACACGACGGACACCTCCATCAAATGCATTTAAGGCATCTATAAGATGAGGCAAAAAAATGTGTACTCCTGATTCATTAGAATTGCGCGTAATAGTGGGACGTCATAATAACTGGGTATTATCAACGAGTTATTAACATAAATTGGCAACAGTAAAGAGTCTAACGTTTCGAGCGCTAGCCCTTCGTCATAGCGACATTGGAACTAGTCGTAAACATTCCTAATCAAAGTGCTCTGTGAGCAAACTCGTGAATTGACGGATGACTTACATGAATTTTTTGGATTATGTTTAATGTTATCTGGTTTAGGGAATTTTGTGGTTGATTGTCATATTACACACGATACGAAATGTAATGATCGATTTTGTCCTCAATCTCACGCCAGAAAAGGAAAAGCTTTTGAACAGCTGTAAACTCCGAGCGCTTCGGAGTAAGAGATATTTTTAATGAATCTTCAGATTGCTTTCAAGTTCAAGGATTGTAAATTACAATTTTATGAAAAACGAAGGTTGTTCTCTTATTTCAGTGTGAATCCTCGCACGCCTGCCAGTCGCTGGCGTCGCTCGTTGAAACTAAAACGAAAAAAATTAAACTCTTCTAAGATTATCACTGGCTTCTTTTTCACCCCACCACTATTCTTAGCAACAAAGGTCGCCATTTCGTTAAAATCGAAAAAAAGTTTACAGGAATCGACCAATCGAGCGAGCGAGCGAGTGCCATTCTCAACATCATATCTACAACTCACTCTTGCGCATGCGCGCAATTCACGAGTTTAAAAGGAATTATCAAGTTTTTCCTTCCTAGGAACGAAATGATGCACACGGAAACAAAAAGATAGGGAGTTCATATTGTATACTAATGGATTTTGGAACCTGACCTGTTTATTACGTTAAAGAACAACAAAACATGAAAAGAAGCGGGTCTTTTATGGACAGAGCTGTATATTTTGAGATCCCTTTCATAGTAAGGAACGAATAACTCCAATTAAACTCTTTATAGACACCAGGTTTGAAACGAACGTAATCGAAGTCTGCCGAGTATGGAGTACTGTTTACACTACCAGTTTATGAATTTTCGAAACATTTTGGAGAAAAATATATCTGGTAGACTGTTATGCGGGTCGGCATTGGACCCACAAGCGTTGACTGAGAACATTTTTATTCAATAATTACCCACCATAATAAACTCCATAAACACAAGCCGAAGCCACGAATGCGCCCAGTAGTTGTGCCGCCCAGTATACGGGAACTTTCTTCCATGGAAATCTTCTTACGACGGCAAAGGCCAATGTGACCGCAGGGTTCATATGAGCGCCTGAAAAAATAATCAGAATTATCACATTAATACATGTAACCACATGAGTTGAACTGAAAATATGAGATTTGCAACGGAAAAGATTACGCAAGAAATTATGAATGGTAAACAGTTTCCAATGAAAGTAAGGCAATTAACACAGTGGCGAAGACTTTACTTCAAAAGCAAGATTATTGCCAATCAACTCTGGATTTCCGATGTAATCCTACTTTTTGGTATAGTTTAAAATGAAAATAAAACTTAAGCTACCACAAAATTTTAATCGTAACTACAGTTAATCGGCTTCTCGACAATCTTGCCTCGCGTTCCATCATGTACCATGAGAATAAACTTCGTAAAGTGCTTATGAGATTGTTAAAATCCAATTCTACTTCATTTTATTTTAGCAAAACATGTCGGGATCATTTTGGCGTCTTGAAAAAGAAATTGCTTGCATAAAACCCTGAAATGACCCATAGCTAAGCTGGAAACGCGCCAAAAACAAAAAAAGGAATGAAGCAAAAATGAGTGGGGCTAATTGTGGAGGGCGGAGAAAGAAAGAGATTTAAAATTATGAAAATAAAAAAAAGTATTGCTCGGTTTTTCAAAATGGACGGACCAGGAAACAGAAAACTATTTTCAAGATGGTGACACTTTTTCCACAACTGACCTGAAATTCCACCAGCCCAATAGCAGCCGAGCATAACACCAATTCCCCAACCGAAGTTCACGGAGAAAAAATTTCCAAACTCCGACTTGCTGAGAACCATCTGAGCTACTGACGCTATTCCAAACGTCTGCATAAATATAAAATTGATGAACTAAAGTTTGCGCTTTTCCAATGTAAAAGAATGAGTTATGCCATGAGCTACAATAAGATCGACTGAACGTCTTAATTTTTCACTTATGGGAATCAGTTAAAAATCTACTTGCTGCTCACTCACTAGCAAAATGAATGTAGAAGCGAACTCAGCGGCAGCTTCTCTCATCAATTGGGGCAAACGGAAACGAACAGCCATGACGTAAACTCAGTGATCACGCTGTAGACAACAAAAGAGAAATGGAATATGATGAAAACAAGGTTTTAACCGACTGAAATCTTTCAGCACCAAACATTTTTTACATGCAGATTTGGATAAACATCCTTCTTACACGAGTAACCAGTTGTGTTTTTATGATGGGTGAAACTTTTGGACCACAAAAAGATTGACGTCAAGTCCTCAAGCGCCTATGTTCGCTTTCCTAAAAGCGGCAAAGCTATGACGTCATGCAACGATAAACATCACAACAGCAACACCGGACGACGGTCAAGAAAGAAGGCGCCAGTTTATACCTTTAGTAACACAAGAAACAACTGGCAATTTGCAGTCAGTCTTTAAAATTCTACCGCCACACCATAATTTTGGAGGCGATCGGCTCGTCTTCATTATGTTTAAATTCCGCCCCTCACACGCTCAGAGAAGAGATCACCGTGTTGCAGTTATGTTTACAACATAAACCAATTGCTTGCCGACGAAATATTTGTCTCTGTACCTGAACAACCTGAATTGATATAGAAATTTCCCCGTCTGTGCCTGAACAACCAGAACTGTTAGAGAAATTTCCACGCCTTGTTAACAGCTCTATAGTTCTGCTTTGACTATTAACTGTTCGAGTATTAAATTCACAGCTTTTGTGTTTGAGAACCTTGGTGGTCGTATTTATATCATTTTGCAGTGAAATGATATCCATGAATAAGACTGATGGAGATTAACACAGATTATAATTATTGACAATGCTTCATGACCAAATGATCTGAGCATTTCAGATAAACCTTCCTTCATCTTCATACGAAACTTGAATCACAATGGTAACTTCGAAAAAATTTTTTTTTTGTATCCTACAAGGGAAGCCATGAAGTAATTCATTAATTCAAAAAGTCTTTCTAACTGTCAAAGTACGTCCTTCATTTGATGGTTTGCTAAATTATATTGAACGATATTTGCAAGTGACCTGGGCTGAGGAAGAGGGACAAAAAGTCAGAAGTATTCTCCAATTACTTCCATGTAAATTCTTGCAAGAATGTGAGTTGCAATTTGTCAAAGCTGTCTAATAAACGAGATTGAGCCGAACTTTCATGTTACAGTGTCCTAAAATGTCTGTTGTACTCACAACTCCCCCTCAGTTCTAAAGATTCAACAATAAATCAAACTTCTCCACCTCCTTCGCATTGTAATCTGTCTGTATAGTACCTTGAACCGTCACACAATTTATAAAAAGGAAATGAACGAAGAATCAGAAGATAGGAAAATATAGTTGAAATTAAATTCTCTACCGCAACCCTCAAGTATAAGAGGATAGCTCACTGGGAGGTGATAGCTTTGCAATGAAACATATGCTTGGTAAACTTGTTTGATTTGCTGCTGTTGAACTTGTAACACGGTAGCATGTCTTAATCAGCACGAAACATTTTTTCACCTGCTTTGTTTCATGTTTTTATTTTTGATAGATGATCTGTAACAGGCAGGTTTTTAGCTTTCGATTGAGAATATCCCATCACATAAAGCTTTGCAAATGTCAACTGAAGAAAAAAAAAAGCCTTGTCGGTGTGCGCTATCAAGAAACTGGAAATACTCCAAGGCCTGAGTGTAGACTGAAAGTCACGCAAACCGGTAAACTTTTAACGAATACAAAGCAGAATAAATGGAAAATACAAATGTCACAATTCAGTGATAAATAGCAATTTGTCACACCTTTCGTTTGGGTGGCGTTGGCTAATTTCAAGATTCTATTTCGTGTCGATTTGTTACGCAAGTGCTTTCCATTAAGCTGTAAGCTTATTAACAACTGTGAACAACAACTGAGGAATGTTTGTTCTGAGTAATCACTAAAACGGTATACCCTTGGAAATATTTTGAAGCCCTTTTTCGGTGTTTTACTTTGCGGTAATGCGTAAAAAAAAGAAACATCTGAGAATATAAACTGTGGTCAGCTTATGGCGTTTACTAAATTTAGTGATTCTACGGCTGACCAGATCCGGCAACTTTAGGACTCAATGAGCTTACTGAAGGCTTCTGTGTTGACCTCCAGCCTCTTTACGTAATGCCTTTAATGTCTTGACTTCTTCTTAGATTTTTGTGCACACTTAAACCTTTTCCACTGTTAAATTTAATCATCAGTTTTAATTCTTACCTCCGAAAGTGTAGACTGGTTCACAGGTTTCTGCCAAGCAACTACACAATAACGAAGCCTTTCTATGCAACTTACCAGCTCCTTCAATTTGTTTATGATTGAGTTTAAATGTTTATTTTAACCTTAATGTTTATTAGCTTTGATTTGACAGCTTTTTCAGCCTTTGTCACGTATTATTTGACATAATTTTGCAATAGAATGTGAGATTTTTACTGATTGGCGGCTTGGACTCCTGGACAATTGGACAATCAAACCTTTCGACATTGAAGGTGGTATGTGAGTTGATGTCGCGAGAGCTAAGAATATTTCTCTCTTATGAAGAGACTTGCAATAAAATTAATTGTAAGATGAAAAAAAAAAAAAAAAACCGCAATATCTTCTAGCCCTGGTTCTGTGGAAACTATTAACAGACGTACGTACGTTCTGAAATAGAGTTGACAACTTATCAGTTTGAAGACATTACAACCATTTACCTTGAAGGCCGAGAGACCATTTTAAAAATTCCAGATATTGTTGAATATTTCATGCCGGTGTAGGTAATGTACACAATATCACTAGCTAAACGGTGGTCGGTGTCTCTAATCCTTATGTCGATGTCTCGGGACCTAAGCGTGAAACGCTATTACGTTAAAATTGTAAAATGAGGTTTGTTCACGTTACTTCTAGCCAAAGGATAAGTAATTAGTCAACTACATTCGCTCACTTTATATTAAACTATATATGTAATAAAAGAAGCGTTGTTGACATCAATGAGTATCCGTGACTGGGAAAGGCCGAATTTTGTTTAAAAAAAGTTGCTTAATTCCCGATACTCTTTAAAAAGAAGCTTTTCTTCTTAGCTTGATCGATCAGGATGCCTGTCAGCTAACTGATAGTTCGAATGCCTTACTGGTGTAATTACATTATCATTGCTTATGTTGTCCTGATGAGTCAGTGCAGCTGTTACGATGTTTTTTTGAAAGCTTCCTTATATGGAGTTATTGATCAGACTTAACTACTTGGTAAATTGATAAATGATAGAGAGACTAAATAAACAAACAACCATGGATGAAAATCGCAATAGGAAAGAACTGCAGGTGCGCATCAGAAAAATGAAATGAGATATCATGAAAATGCCGCGAGTCCAACCACACATCGAGTTCAAAAAATGAAATCTAGCGAGAAGGGAAGGAAACTCAGAGGCAATCACGAGAAAAGGGAAGGTGGATAGTAAGGAAGCAAAAGCCGAACCATTTCTCCCTAAATTTTTTCAAAATGTCGAGGTTTCCAAAAACATAAGTAATTAAGAAGAAAATAGGCGAAAGTCTGATCAACAGACAGAGATGAGACATAGTTTGATGCTACTCTGGCTTAAAGATCTGATGAATGCAACTGAGAAGATACAATTCGTAGACCCAACGTTTTGACACTCCTGTCTAGTGCCTTCATCAGGGGTGATCTAAACGCTGCAACAAGAGGTCCTTTTATATGCTCATGATTGGCTGACCTTTTTTTCTGACGAAGTGTAAATAAGCGTCAGGAAGTAAGCCGCCATCATCACGATTTATAGGAGCGTGGGCGGAGTTGATATGCCAGGCTTCCAAACAAAGAGAGAGATGACTCAGCGTCATCACGAACGCTTTGACTAGTATCTTTATCTCGCAAAATTGTGAGCTCTCCAGCCAAACATTAGTCCAATTTAACCTCGAATGAAATTTTTATCAATTTTTTCCTCTTTGTTTCAGTTTTAAGCATTTCAAAAAAACACATGCTTCCATGAGAATCGACAACCTCTCTTTCTAAGTTAACTCTTATTACGTGTCAGTAGGGCTTTTTATACACGACTTGTTTCTTTTGATTAGATTGTTCAAACGTAACATTATTCTGTGAACGAAGCAGATCCCAAAGATCACTTCGAGAAAAAGACTGGGTTACATTCTAATTGCAATGATGTAGAAACGCCATCAGCATGAAAAAATAAATTTAAAAAGCAGGAACCAGTCCTCGCCTAGTTGTTAGCATTTCAGCATTAATGTAGTTAAATCTAGAACTAAGTCAGAGCTACCCTGTAAATTAAAGGAAAGAAAGTTTAAAAAAAAATCGTTACCTACATTTTTGTGCAAACAATTCCATGGTCGCAAGAGGATTGTGGCACTCTGTGGTGCGGTGAATAATCTGTATCCTGGAGTGAGCGGTGTGAATCACCTCAAAGGTTTAGAGTGCCTCTCGGCTAGCTAACCCTTACCGGAGTTATTGCATTATCACCGCTTATGATGTCCTGATGAGTCACAGCACCTGTAGCGACGTTTTTTTTTTTTTCCCCTTAATATTCAGATGGAGTTACTGACTTAGGTACGTTTTAAAATGATAAATGTGGCAACGATAAAAAGACTAATTAAACAACGACCAAGAATAAAAATCGCGATAGTAGAGAACTCAAGGTGCGCATTGAGAAAATGAAATGAGATATCATGAAAATGACGCGGGTCAACCCACACATCGAGTTAAAAAAATGAAATCTGGCCGAGAGGGGAAAGAAACTCGGAGGCAATCACGAGAAAGGGAAGGTGGATAGATAGGAAGAAAAAGTCTAACCATTTCCCTTTAATATTTGTCCAAATTCCTTTCCTCGTCTGAAAGACAGACAGAGATGACTTAGCTGCATTGGGGACGCTTCGATCAGTATTTTTATCCCGTAAAATTATGAGCCCTCCAGCCAGATATATTACTCCAATTTATCTCCTGCTGTGGAAATGTTTTTTTCCTCTTTGTGCCAATTGTTTCTTTTGATCGATGAGATTGTTCAAATGAAACATTATTCTGTGAGCGAAGCAGATCCCAAGAAGCACTTCGCGAAAAAGACTGAGTTACATTCTATTATTGCAATGATGTAGAAACGCCATCAGCATGAAAAATTAAATTTAAAAAGCGGAACCAGTCCTCGCCGCTGGCTGTCAGCATTTCAGCATCCATGTAGTTAAATCAAGAACTTAGTCAGAGCTATCTTGCAAATAAAAGGAAAGAAAGTGCCAAAAAAAAAATTACCTACACTTTCGTGTTTACAATTCCAAGGCCGCAAGACGATTGTGGCACTCCGTGGCACGGAGAATAATCTATATCCTGGAGTGAGCAGTGTAATTTAACTCAAGGTAACGAATCGACTATCTATTAAAACTCTTTATCACACCATAATTGTTTCAGCTGTTGAATGAAATGTCTGCCCAAGCACGCCTACGCTATAGACTCGCTGTCTCGATACGTCCCAAAGCGAATGCAGTTCAAGTCAAAGCGAATCGTTCAATAAACACTAGGACCGCCACCCCATGATGCCCCTTCAAGCAATTGCGACAGACAAAAGCTTTTGACCCTTTGGTGAAGTTCACTTAATAATATGTTGACAGCCAACCCTGCCTCGTCTGCCTCGTTTTACATAAAGATAAGATCAAATGCTTAGTTTTCATTGACGAAAGCACCTTCCCCATAAAATGAGTATGTTTTTATGACCTCATTCGTAAACTTTCCAGTTTTTATTAGTCATTTGCTTTGAAAAAACAAAACAAAACAAATAAACAAAAACAAAAACAAACAAAAAAACGCTGTTAAGTAGTTCCGATGAGGTAAAATGACCTAGCGTGACTAAAGCGCATCCCAGACGATCGATGTCATCACAACACACATTTATGTAGACGTAAGATAAACACGTATATACTTACTGAAGAGGACATACTGCTGAGTTCGTCTGGAACTAACTGCTACTGCTAAGAATTACATTGTAGTTCGCTACACAGTTTGGCAAACTGAATCTTGCCTTGGGTCGAAAGGTTTTACAGGTTCATTCATAGCGCCGCAAATTGGATATCGAAAAAAAAAAAGGCGCTCAAATGAGAATGTAAAATGATGACATAGAGCACCACGGTGTTAATTGGTGACCTATATTATGCAATGATATGAACAAGTAACTTCAAACTTCAACTGTACCGTTGTTTTAAAGTTAATTCATCCAAAACTCTCCCATAAAACTTAGCTTGAAAAATGACTGCCCTACTTTCGCCGAAGTGGAAAGACTGAGTTGTGTTTACCTACAAATCATACAGTACTGGCACTGCAGATTTAAAAAAGGAGTGACGTGACGGAAGAGGTGATTTTAGGAAAAACGAATAAATCGGAACCACTTAAAGAAGGAGGAGTGGTCTGGCTAACAGCTGCCCTCGTCTTCTTATCTTTTTTTCTTATGTTTAGTTTTAGAAGAACAGACAGATCAACAGTTTTCCACCAATTTCCGCCAGGAAATGATTTCATATTCTACGTTTAAAAAGGGAAATCGATACATGTCTACAACTAAAGGTAAAGTTAATTGAAATCCGAATTACCTTTGATTCAAATTGTTGGGCCTTTCGTTGTGTTATACACTGAAAAGTCAAGAAAAGCAGACTGTGATAAGCAAACGTACCAACACATACAACCAATACCAAACTATAGCTGGTACAGAGAGAAAAAAGCAACAAAATACACCTCACGGTGTGTCTGTACGTTCTCCTGAAGTTTGTCTCTGATGTCGCTTCAATGATAAGAAGAGTGTACGTAACCCTAAAAAAGTGCATGTCCTTTGTAACTTTCGGTCTTGTAGTCTAAATATCTTTAGAAGGCAAGAATAATACACATTACTTACGATTCTACAAGACAGGAGAACTATCCGAAAACAATGTGTACGCTGTCCTTGTTCTGATTACACAATAGGTAATTGGAAGTTATTGCAGGTTTTAAAGTCATTTTATCTGATTATAAGCTTACACATTAACCACAACAAATTAAGCGAACACAGCAGAGAGGAGAGGGAGCGGTGAATAGGTTAATTTTATTGATACTTTAGAAACAATCCACTAGATAAGGTGTAGTAACTTATTGCACCCTTCGTTCCGCAAAGGGATTTTCGAAATTGGATCTTAATTAAACTCTCTTGCATGAAGGACTTCAGTGACTTTGTCTCAAGCCTTTTCAGGACATCTCGCCATCTAAAATGGATCCTCCAGGTACTCATGTTACCTTTGTGACTGTTATAACGTGGGACTCCCTTGGGGAGGGTGATGTCATATTTTTGCACTTCTTTTCTCTGGGTAGCTTTGCCAAGAAAGAGCGGTAAGCGAGCTCAAACTTGCGGAAAAAGAAAAGATATCATCACAGGACCGTCGATGAAATTAATTTCACAGCAACGCATTCTTACGTAGCTTAGCTAGACACATTTCTCCTCCTTGCGGTCCCCTCTCTCGCCCAATAGAATGTTTATAAGAATCCCTTTGTTCCATCTTGAAGTGCGTGCGGTTTCAAATTACGTTAAGCCATGCGCTGCTTCAAATGGTAGCTGTCGGTGGCGCGTTGTTGTTCACAATGGCGCGCGCTTCTTTGCTTGCTTGTCTTTTGTACTTCTTTGCTGGTTTTTCAGCTGAAGCAGTAAGGGAGACCTCGACTTCTTGTACTCGAAGTAGAAACCGGTCGCTGTTCGACTTTCGCACGAAATATCTGAACGGCACAGCAACCTTGCTACGTAAGTTCGCTGGGAACGTCACCCTGGCGCTAAACGTAGCTACCTACTGAGGATTCGCTGCGCAGTACCCTCACTTAAATGCACTCATGAAGGAACTTAACCAAAAAAACTACCGGTGTGGTTTGAATATTTTGGCTTTTCCGTGTAATCAGTTCCTAAACCAAGAACCAGGAGCGAACGAGAAGGAGATTATGAACGGGTTGAAATGGGTCCGGCCGGGCAATGGATTTGTTCCGAATTTTCCACTTTTTCAGAAAATCCGAGTCAACGGCGCATGGGAAGACCCGATCTACACCTATTTAAAGGTAACTTCTGCTCTTTAATGGGTTTAACTCGAGGGTTTCTAGATTTTAATATCTTTGGGGCTACCGTCCATATCAGTATGAGATTACGTAATAAATGTGACCTTACGTAATGATAGTCACGGGTAAGAGTAATTTATAGACCTTTCCACAGTTTTTATTCAGTGTAATGTAGGGCTGGAAAATAAACTAATAAGAGCTCCGCTTTTAGGCTTGGCTAAATCTATAAATTAGACCTTTCCACTGATTTTCAGGGGCTTCTCTCTCCAAGCTTATACCCCATTCACACCTGCAAAACATGTTCAGTTAAACCAGGTTTAAATGAGTTAAAATCAGAAATAAACCTTGAAAAACTGAATTTTCCATGTTTTTAGTAGTCACTACCTTTTCATTTCATATGTGCTAGATTTGAAGTCGACAAACATTGGTATAAGCAGGCTCTATGAAGAAAACATTATTGAACGGTGTTTAACAAAACAGCTTTAAAACCCGTTTATTCTTTGGCGTGAATGGGGTATAAGCCCATCTTAGCCTGCCTTTTTAAGTTGTTTCAATCTGATGTCATTTTACTTTTGGTCCTTAAGGCAGCTAAAACCGAACTATGTGTACAATTATGCGAACGCCTGCAATTACCCTTACCACCAAAATCAAGGGTAAGCCTTCCAGGTTGTCGAAACTTCCATTCAGCCGAGGTCTTAGAGCAAAAAAAAATACTTGGGAACCCCGTCCGCGACTGGACTTAAGCCGCCAGCTCACCGCTGGACTGAATATTGAATTAACTCTTTGGGGTGAGGTTCTGAAATGGAAAGAATTGTGAAAGCCCAGTGCCCTGTGCACTTTCGCGCTCGGTTCTGTCCAAATTTAAATCGCCCCTATCTTCGGGACTGGCGGGAAGGGAACTTATTTAATCCGGAAGCTATCGTGTAGACTGAGAGCCTCCTTCAGTCACAAGGCGGGTCGTGTAACGGCAAGATACATCACCTAACTCTGATTTCGCAAATGTTCCCTTTAACCCTGAAGAAGTATGGAGAATATTTATTCACAACGAGAACGGGTATTTTCATAATATCAGTGCGCAAGTCAGAGAGTGGAATTTCAATCTCGTCCATTAGCAGAACTAGTTAACTTAGTCTGGGGGTCTGTCACCAATGTTTTTTTTTTTTTGCTTTTTATAATTATTGTTATTGTTACTATTTGACAAGCCAGGGCAAGCCGCAAGGCGAGCGCGTAAGACGAGTCTCACGTAAGAGGAGGGGCGCGGAAAAAAATGATATGTTAAAACTGGTTGTAACTTGAGCTTTTAAGCCCTAATTGTATGTAATCTTCTTGTAGTCGCTCTGTCCCCTTCCAGGAGGAGTAATCAGTCGCTATGTAGCTGTTTCATGGAATCCGGTGAGAAGTGAGGACATCTCTTGGAACTTCGAGAAGTTCTTGGTCGATCATAATGGATTTCCTGTGAAGCGTTACCTTCCCAGTACAAAGCCTTTTGACTTGTTGGGTGATATCCGAAATCTTATGCAACGTTGTTAATTGGATTTCGATAGAAGAACGACTTTTTTTCTTTTTGCCTCACTTTTATTCTTTTCACTTCTTCTTAAGTAGTTTTCATAACTACGAAGATCACTTTCATATTCACATTAATTTTATTCTATTACAAAGCTATATATACCGTCACGCACGTGTGAGAAGTTACACCAGCACGTGTTTCCGGTGGCAATGCGATTGGATGGTTAAGAAGGGGAAGGGCCGTAATCCCGTTTCACACATCACTTAGAGGCGAAACTTCAAATTTTCTTGTGTGCGAGCTTTCAGGGAAAACTTGACGTTTACTCGAAATGAAAGAAGAAACTTCACAGGTCGCGTATATTTCAGGATATACCAGTTCATAAATTCACAAATCACGTTGCCTTTCAAATTAAATTCACGTGTCACATGTTGATTTTGGTCTTAATCACGTGTCACGTATTAACCTTTTGACATCTTCCATTATCGAACGGCGTCTCTACATATAATTCTATTTCTTTAAATCCTTGTCATATTTATTTAGCATGAGCAGATTTTCTGTTTTGATTTTTCTGTATAATCAGGGGGTGTCTGATAGCGCGCAACTGTTTCCTTTTTTTTTTTTTTTTACGATTGTTTTCTCTAGTTTTGTTTTGTTTTCTCTTCTTACTTTTTTGATAATATATTCCTTCCTTAGTCACAAGCTAAGCGGTACTGATGTTATGTCTTGAACCGATACCTGCATTATGGCTCAGCTGTATGACGAACTATTTGTAAACTGTTTACTGCAGTGGAATAGTCCAGAGTTTCTGTTCTCTCTGTTCAGTGTTTGTGCATTTAGCTGTTACAGAATGAGAAACATTGTTTTGAGCTTGGTGTAATTTACTTTTAAAGGTATTACAATAAATCAGGAAGGAGATTGGAATGATTCTTTATAATGCATTAAGTTACGGCGTTTTCAGCGGCCTGCTTTACAAAAGCATTGGAAGGGGATGACATGAGCCGAAAAATCCCCCTTCCTTGTTGGCACTCAGTCCTTAGTAGCTGAGCTAACGATTATCCGCGTCTAAAACTCGCCCCACGGGTAAACAGTTTCTTCCTCGATTATCCACTCGTGAAACAGCGTGAATAGAGCTACAAAGCCCTTTGGACAATCGGACTCCAACAAATCATTCTCACTGCGAAGAACAAAGAATTAGCATGCATGTTTGTAGTCATTGTCACGAGCCAAAAGGAAATTAGAGAACCCATATGGACTTTGCAGAAAAGGAATTTGAGTCGTGAGCAATTGTTCAGTGTTTCACTCAATAACTTGGCCTATATTACACAAGGGATTGCGCACAATTGCTTAAAAGTGAGGTGAGCAACCGAGGTCTCACTTAAGAGAAAGAGTGGGCTGTTTTCTCGAAGAGAGTATAAGGACTTAAATTTTTAATGGATTATTTATAACGCTGAATTTATTCATAATGAAGATTTATACCGCAAGAAAGAAACAAATTTATTCAAGCCAAGGTTTAAACCTGAAAATTTTCCTTTGTTATGAAAAGTAAAAATTTATTCTATTTATTGACGATAATTTGTGTTTTTTCTTCTCTGCAACTTAATTTTGACGCAATAAAAGCTCTAATGATAGCTTCGTGAACTTGCTTAGAACTAAAGCTAGTCTTCCACGTTTTTGTTAAAGTGAATTACCTCAATTTTTTCAGATTTCCTTCATTTTGGTATTGCCGCCAAACGCCAATTTCACGCGCGGGGGCTTAGTTAGTTCCCAGGCTTGTCAGGAACTAAGTACAGATACATCATATAGTCGTAATTGAAAAGCATTCCAGACAACCACGAGGGCGGAAGTGAAAAGTGACAGAAAATAACAGTCTTTCGAAACCGAAATTGGCAATCGACTGTGGATGTTCTGTGATATTTATGGCAAACCGATGAGGGGAGATTAATTTTACAAGCCAAGAGTTATTTTAATGAAGTAATTTTTAGTTACATTTTGCGTAGGAGACGAGATTTTCCTAATGAATCATGCAAAGGTATCCTGTATTGCGATGTTGGCACGAAGTCAATCGTAGACAATGAATTCGTACAGTTTACTTCCCTTTTACTCGATATTATTTTCGTTGCTGTCCTCTACCTACGTTTCCTCGCTAGGAAATCATTCTCGAGGTAAGATGGAAGGTTTATTTTGATAAATACACTTCTTTGGGGTTCGTTGTGTGCTTTTAGTAACTAAACCAAGCACTGTGCATATATCAATTATTTAGTTTGCGTTATAATGGACGTTGCACCTTTGAAGTAAGTTTATGAAATGATTTGGTTTAAGGTTATCGGCATGGTGAACAGGTTTGAATTGTGTTCGAATTTTAAAAGGGTGACTTTATATTTAATTTATTAAGGTTCTCTCTGTAGTTATCACTGAATTCCTTTAACGATTAGAATCATAGAAGGCATGTATACACGGAATATATTGAATTTGTTTGCAGGGAGGAATGAAATCCCTTCTATTTCTTTGGTTGCTCGCCAATTTTCGTGGCCCTACAGTTTCTGTTTTGTTTGGTTTTGATTCTTTTTTCATATAAGCCAGTTTAACTCTTAGGATGAAATCAGTCATTTCCTTCCCTCTTGCATAATTGAGCTGCAATTTATTTTCTTTAAATTAATGAACAAAATCAACGTGGTTCAGATGCTATCTTTTAATGAGCCTGATACAATATCGGAACTGACTTACGCTGTGTGCGAAAATGTCGATGTCTAAATTAAGTACAGATTAACGGCGTGTGAACGCCAGTTAGTTTACTTTCTGACTGGGGGTGCATTTTGGAGTTGCTATACGGAGCAATCTAGGTATGGACGTAAGTAGCAAATTTTGAAAAAGCAATGTAAATCCGAAATCAGTTTCAACAGTCAACTTAAAATTTCTCCATTCTTTAAAACTCTTGCCAGGATATTGTTCTGAAATGTCAAAGAGAGGTGAGATACATGTCATCTGTTACTAAAACGTTTGGTACATCTTTGGTCTGCCTATTAAGTACATGTACTTACCTTATATATAGGAAAATCCTAATTTGCAACTACTTTCCATACACTAATATTGCCCAATGATTTACAAATTATAGAATGTTTGCTCAAAACCTCATCAGTTGATTGCTGTAGACTTATGTTTAAATATTAAATGGTAATAAATTGACATGGTTTTCAACAAAACTAGTTTTGTTTAAATCACATATAGGCAATATTAGTGAGTCACCTTTAGTTAGTAAATGCAGATTTGGATTTAAAGAATTATATATGAGATGTTTACTTATACTTTTTTGGCTTTGGCAAGTGAAATCTCCCAGAACCTTATCATTATAAATTTAGTGAAAATAACAATTACATTCATTTGCTTTTATTTCAGCTTCATTTGTCACAATTGAACCAGGGAGCCCTGACAATTCATACTTTGTCTTAAGGGGCTCTGTATTTCTGTTAAACTGCACTGTAAGATCTGGATTTGGACAAACTCCCAATGTATCCTGGAAGCACAATGACAAATGGTTGTTTGATCGAGCGAAAAAAATTGATGATTCAACAGTTCAGTTGCAATTATTGAATGCAAGTGCCCATGATAATGGAATTTACTGGTGTGGTCCAGTATCTGGTGATAAATCCCAAGGAGTAAATATCTCAGTCACTGTGGCAGGTAATAATCTGTTTTAATTTCACTTTGATATAATTTATACTTATTGAGAGCTTTTTTTTGATATGATTTCAGTGCAGTTTATTGTAAGAATTATGGTCACTGTGTAAATACCAGAACTCCTCCAAATCTCAAAGAAAGACAAAACTAAACATTGAATTTAAAGCCACATACATACATGGATAAATTACAAAGGAAGAATGTTTTAAAAAAAGCAGTAAATGGTTTGAACCCAGAGGTAACTGTTGATAAAGTATTCTGATCGTCTGAGTGAGAGTAATCTTGAAAAGGATCAATGTAATTGGCGATGGCAGACATTCCAACAAAGTGAGATAAAGTAATTATTAGATCAGTCAAGTTCTTAAAATCAAAGTTTACCTCACTTATATTAGTGCTGGGTACTCACTGGACAGTGTTTTGTGAATTTTTTTTTTTTGGTTATTTTGTTTGTTTCACTTGTTTAAAATTTATTGAGACATTTAAGTTTGTAATAAGACACACTGTGTATCAAAAACACATTAAATACCTAATATTCCCTGGACTTTTATAAGCAAACTAGAAATCTTGTAGGCTTCAATTTAAATGTACAAAAGGCTTTATTGCATTTAACTCCTTCAATTAGCTCATGATTCTCCTTTTCAATTAGCTTTTATATTATAAAGTGTGATACTTTATCCCTTTGTCCCTAAAATGATTAGAAACCAACTTCTCCTCACAGTAACACCCTGAATCGAGCAATCACCAATTAAAGAAGCTTGTGATTGTTAAACAAATTCTCCTCATCAGTGCAATAGATATATTAATAGAGAACAGTAATATGCATATGATGGTATAAATTAGTTATTTAAAGCCAATTTCCGTGGAGACTCACACAGTCATATAAACTATTCTGACTTTTGCTTTCCAGATCCACCAAGTTGCCCACGGAATTTAAACCTCAAAATCTATGGTGTTTATCCATTTACAGATGTCTGGATACTGTGGTCATCTTCCAGCTATACTGGTGGTTTACCTGTGAACTACTCCATCAAATTGTGCAATGACAAACCTGACAACTCATGTCAGAAAACTGCCTGCAGGTTGATCAACATAAAAGAATGCCAGCCTGTAAACATTCTCAGCACTACAATGAATTTCAAGTGCATTCTGAAAACTTTCTTAGATGCCTGTGTCTATAATATTTCTGTTATGGCCACAAATGCTGTTGGAAGTGCACAAAGTCTAATTTACCTGCCATTTATCTCTATAAGTTCAGGTATTTTTTTCAAAGTGCTTCTTCATTAATTAAGGATAATTTTAGTATTGCTAATAATATCACAATCCCCATAATGATTTCAGTCATTAAACCTTCAACTCCTAGAATCTGATTGTTAATTGTCTCATCCAGCTCAGTGTAACACATTTCCTGGTGAATTAGTTACAAGAATTTGGTGTTAGATCAAGATGACAGCTTCTACCTGATAATTTTGAGTAATCTCATTACCTGTTTGCTGGATTAAATATTTTGATAATTTAACAAGACGTTACATGTTATTGTCAATGCTGGAAAATTAAAAGGTTAATGTTTGTCTTTCAGTTACACCCAAGCCTCCTGAAACTTTTAGTGTTGAGCGCACAGATAAAGAGGGTGAATTGCGTGTGCGTTGGAAAGCCAGACCATCTTGGGATCTAGCCGACCAAAATTATACAGTGCTCTATCATGCCAAAGGGGAGATTAAAAATAGGGTATGTTTAGGTAAACATTTTCTAACTAATTTTTCACACATCACCCATTGTAAATGAAATGTTACTGACTAAGAGAACTGTCCTCAAAGCTTTAATAAAATTAAATGAACAAATCAAATTATTTTACATGTCAAGATAAAAAACTGCATCAGTAATTTGTGAAGAAAGAGAGGGGGGAGGAGAGGAGTGGGAGCAGTTATAGCTCAAGACAGGTGAATGAAAATTGGCAGAAAGAGTGGGAGAATGAAAATTGGCAGAAAGAGTGGGAGAATGAAAATTGGCAGAAAGAGTGGGAGAATGGAAATTGGCAGAAAGAGTGGGAGAATGAAATTTGGCAGAAAGAGTGGGAGAATGGAACGAAAACTTGTGGTCTCCTGGTCTGAGAAACCTATGTCAGTAGCATAAAAAATGATTTAAAAATTGTTTTTTATGTATTGATGTATTTTTCATGTTTCAAAATGGCTATTCACTGTTTTTATTGTATGCACAAGTCAAACTATTTATTCATTCAGTTGGACATTTATTTCTTTAATCATCAGGGCCAATTTTATCATGATTACTAAATTAGTTAATGTCATTATTGTTAAATTAAGAGAATATCAAAGTAATTTTTTAATTTAATATTAATACACATACTTTTTAAATGTTTGTTTCATTTCAGACAAGCACTACATCCAATAAAGAATTTACACTGCTCACTGGACTGAAAGACTTTACAGAGTATTATGTTTATGTTGTGGTCAGATTAGATGAATCAGCCTGGAGTGAAGCCATCGGGCCAAAAAAAAACAGGACAAAAGCAGGCTGTATGTCTTTTTAATAGTTGTTGCCCTTGTATCTATGTATTCCAGGCCATAATTTCTCATTTCTTCTACAACCCACACTTGGTTACAGAAATGTTCCCTGTTATTTGCAAACTGTTGAGTCACCTTGCACATTGTCTAAATATGAATCATTTTTATGGGTGTATTTGCAATGGCATCCAATATGAGCAAGCAATTCTTGTTTTTCTTGAGAGTATAAAGTGCCATGTCTCTTTAACCTTTTAAGTGCCATATACCTATCATTATGCTCATTTTTCTCTTTTGCCATTGGTCACTCTGACTGTTCTTTTCTAAGGACTTCCTTATCACCTTCTCCCTCTTGTCTCCCACCTTCTTGCACACATTGCCTCTTTGTTTCTTTTCTCATCAGCTTAATTGTCTTGTGGGCCCTGTTTCTCTAGAGCAAGTTCTAGCACCCTAACCAGTCCATTTTGTTTCTTTAGCTGATAGTTTTGTTTGTATAGTTTTCAAAACTTTTGAAACTCCCATCTGGAATGAAAACAGAACAGCCATAGGGGCCCATAAAGTACAAGGACCTTAGAGAAACAGGCCCCTGGCAGGTCACTTCCCTAAACTATACCCCCATTTACTGACCTTTTCTTGATCTTGCCTCCTTTCCCTTCACTCTAATTCCATCCTTTCCTTTTACAATCTATTTCTCTCTCTTTTCCTTAACTTCAAATTAACTTTCCTCCCTTCATCCTTTGCTCCAATTTTTTTGTCTTGATTAACCCTCTCTCCAATCTCGCAATCCTTTACCATATTCTTCCATTCCCTCCACCCCTCTACAGCTGTAGATGACATCAATCATTTTGATTACAGATCCAGTCAATCTACCAAAGGTGATAAGAGATTATTCAATATCCTTTCCGGGCAATTCTGGTCTCAGGAATGTATCAGTGGAATGGAAGGTGGGTTTTAAACCTTAATTCTTGATACCTAACATTTCTTTTTAGAACACATGTCTGGGTGTGTACACTTCAAACTGGACTTTTTTCAATTTGAAAATTGTTCATCATTGAGTCTGCTATACTTCAATTTGAAAATCATTCAGGCACAAAACTTGTGGTCTAAGGCTAAATAATCGTGGTAAACTCGTAGTTTACAGGCTTTATATTTTTCTCTAATGATTGAGATAATCTGAGTGATTTTTTTCTTTCGGGAAAGGGTTTTCTGAAAAAAAATTCAATATATTGTCTGAAGTACAGCAAGATTTCATGGGTTTTGTTTTATCTATCCACTGTGATTAGTCCAGAAAAATCATGCCATTTTCTTTACTATTCAGATGCAAAACTAGAAACCAATGGTGCCTTGGCTACACGCATTTCCAAGGCTTTTAACACTTTAATTGTTTTTACTTTGAGTTCTGATTTGCTCCTTGTGATTTTTTGTTCCATGATTGGGCAATTTAATTGTTATCACCGGTACTTGGTTTTGGTTTTTACCACACTCAGATGAGATGGGGCCCTCTTGGCTGCCTCGTGAAATAATTTGTTTGTTTGTTCTTTGCTATTATTCATCATTCGATCTCTTTGGGTGGGGAGTGCTTCTCATAGTGATGTCTGGTAATAGAGATTTGATCTAATGCCACCATGATGATGACAAAAGGTAATTGTCTCTCAGCCGGCAGATACCTCATCATGGCGGGGCAATCCTGGTCAGTACGTGATTTCATGCGCATACCATGTTGGCCAGAGGGAAGTTAAAGGTTGTAGTTATGCTACTGATGCCAAAGCAACCAACATTACTTTACCAAGATTGGAAAATGCGCACAGCTATGATGTCTTCATGATCATGCGTAATATGGAAGGAAAGTCCAGCACACGTAGATTGGTTTATGTCATTAAGAAAGTGCAAGGTGAGTGATGAAAAAGAGCAGAATGTCACCTCTTGATATGATCCTTCTTTGCATAAATGTGGTATTACCTGCCTGAGTGTGATTGTTATGAGTTCAATGTTTTGGCACTGGTGACTTTACTCAGGATTATTGGTAAAAAAAAAAAACAATTGAAACAAGTTTAATATCACAGCTACATAACATCCTGAATCCAACAACATGAATCACAATGAACCCTGGAATGTAGAAAAGTCAGCATATTTAACCCTTTACACCCTAACTGGATCATTATGCATATTCTCTATTCTGTTTTTTATACATTACTAAGTTCTAACAAGGAGAATTTGTAAAACCATCAAGAGCTTCGTTAGTTGCAGATCATTTCCTTTATTCTTGTGACTTAAACATTTGTTTCAGGGGTGATATTGTAAGGAGAAATTAGAACCTTGTCACTCTTAGGGATTAAAGGGTTAAACCTGATGGGTGACAACCTTGAAAACTATGAACCAAACAAAAGGAACCTGAACAATAAAATAACAAAACTACAGCTCAAAGGATTACAAATATTTTGCTGAAAATACCCACAATAATAATTACCTATGCCTATCAGAAAAAAAAAAGAAACTTATAATAATAATGAATGTTCTATAAGCACAAATACAATGACGAAAAATTAGAAGACATGATATGACAATTACAGTTTTTCAAGTTTCTAGACACATCACCTCCTGTATATACAATAACATTAACCTACACGCATGTGTTCTTAATATAATTGGGAAAACGCAATCAGAAAACATTTGTAACTTTTCATGTTGTGAAAATACATCTTACCCAAAGTTTTGATCAGTGATTGTGATAATTTTCTATTATTGGTTTAGTTGTGTGAAAGTTTTTTTTTGAAATAGACTCCTCAATCACTGCTCTCTCTTTTATTCCTCAGAGACTCAAACAACAACGACCCAAGAAAGAAAATTAAGTAGGGGAGAAATTGCCGGGCTTACTATTTCAGTTCTCGTAGGATGTACTATAGCTGGAGTTGCTGTTTACTTTGTAAGGTATGAAGATGAATTTCTGTTGGTTTTTAGGGTGGAAGGAAGGGGGGGGAAGACAGTAAGGGATGGCAGTGTGAGAGGGCAGGGAGCTCAGGAACCAATCAATCCACTATCCCTGGGCGGATGGAAGTTTTTTTTTTGAGGGGGTGGGTGGGGGGGAGGAGATCACACGGAATTTAAAGGAAACAGAGGGGACATCAGTCGTTGTCGCCAACAGAGTATGAAGTGGGGGGTAGGATAGGTATAGAAAACTGACTACTAATTAACTGCCAATGATGAGGGTGTAGATCATAAGAATGTTACAGAACCTTAAGGAAGGATCACGTAAATCTTACCGTGACACAATCAAAATCCTCCAGAGAGGGTGGAAGAGAAGTATTGGGAGTGAACGATAGGGAAACAGATGCAGATATGGAGAAAGAAACTGACAAAGGTGTGTGATTTTGAGAAAGGAATAATGGGAAAAGAGACGGAGATGGAGAGGGAGAAATAGATGAGAAGGAAGGAAGGAAGAGAGAAACGAAGGAATGGAAAGAAGAGAGCAAAAGAATAAGAAGGAATGTGAGAGCAAGGGATTGAGAGGGCGAGGGTAGAAGGGACTTGTTTGGAAGGAAGCTGAAATAGAAATGAGGGTAGGCTGTGTGGGACAATGAGAAAGTATTGGTAACAGCACAGTATTCCAAAATATTCCAGTAATTATCTCACAGGACTTTATCATTATCTTTACCCAACGCCTTTTTTTTTTTTCGTAATGGTAGAAAATGGGGACGCCGGCAAACACCTCTGATGCCCTTGCAGGACATTCAGCTAGAGGTAAGTATTTTTTAGAAGGTGGGGGGAGGGTTTTCCTTTGGTGTCTACGTGTGGTTAATAGAGGCAGAATTGAATGGCTATATGAAAACATCCTTCAAGGTACAAAAATAGTCATAATAGCACTTTTTTCTTAGATGTTTAGTCGAAATATTTGCTCAAGCGGTTCATGCGTCTTGTTTACGTTTTTCGTTTATTTATGCGCTTATTGATATATCAATTTCTTCCTTATACTCATGAGAAGCACTTGCGGATTTGTAGAAGGAAGTTCGTTTTTACGTCGGAAAGTTGTCTTCAATAGTTGCGTCGGTGTATTCGTTTCTGTTCACCAATAGCTTAGAGCTTGTGGATTTAGTTTCGGCGAAGTAGCGCGGTTTGCTCATTTCTTCCGCATACTTCTATGATAAAACACACAAGCGCGTTTAATATCGTGTTTTTGTAGCACAATTCCGCTCGAAAGCATTTGTCTTATTCACATTCGTTTTTGTGTCATGAGCTGGGACTGTCTGTTTTCTAATTACAAACTAAGCAGTGTCAACTTCAATGATAGTCCGTGTTGATTATCACCAAGTCACTTTTGGATCCTTTTTATTTTCCAGCCGCCGCCAGTAGAGTATGACTACATCGCTGAAGCGGACAGCAAAGACGCTAATGGGGACTACAGTCAACTCTATGACAAGTAGTATTGGTGTGATTGATATCGGGTGACTGTCACACGCGAATAAGTGTTTTCAAATAATAACTGTTGTTCCTTTCTCTCCCAAAATAGGATTCCTAATGCTCAGTTGGATATAAAGAGTTTAAAAAATACCAGAAGACTGGTTAGTAGAGGTGACTGGTTCATAAAAATGACTGACAAGGATTAGTGGACGAGCAATCCCTGCTTTTAGGCGAACTCTGGGTCCGTCAGGGGAAAACAAATTGATGTCAGTGCGCCGCGCGGAACTCTGGGAGTCAGACGCCCTAGCATCCATTTTTTTCCTCTAATTGTGTTTTATCTGCACGACGAACTTCTCCGAAATGCAGGGATTGCTCTTAGTCTAGGCAACAAGTGAAGATTAAAAAAAATAGCGAAAAACAGAAAATAAAACGGCGATGCAATATATGTTGGAGGCTCTCGTGGAGAATCAGCGGAACGCTTATATTGATCTGTTGGTTCAAAATGATTGGAATAGTTTTAAATGCTGTGCTTGGACTGTGAAGTGAAAAAGATAGCAGTCACATTTAAACAAAGAATCTGGTGGGTTTACGAAGCAGTCACCTCTGCCACCCAGGGGGAAGATCAATTAATGAATCTTCTCTGTGAAAAATTGAAGCTTCCGTTTGAAATAGTTTTATAGCGATTCCAGAAGAATTAAGAGAAATGTTAAAAGGAAAAATTCGTGGCACTTAAGATAATCTTTGTTCCTCTAAATTACCTCAAGAATTAAGGTATGCAGAGAAAAAAGAGATTAACGAAAATTTTCGGTTCGTTCTAAACGAATGAAAAGTCTAATTTTTATATATCTTTAACTATCTGAAAATTGCGTATAATCAGTTCATGAAGTTATATAGTTTCTAATTGAGAAGCTTCCTGAAGTTTTTACTAAAACTCATTTCTATGCTAAAATTCACTCTCGTAAAATCTTAGAAAAAATGAATTGCACATTCGTATGTGTCGGAAAAAAGATTTTTCATAAATGTTCACTGATTGATTTGCGAAACGATGCTTTTCTCTGTATTTGCTCTTTATAAAAAATTCAACCACATTAGGCATTTTTCCAACCCTCTTCAGTGCATTCTATGTTATTTCGCGATTCAAAGAGAAGAACACTGGCTCTAGATCTTATTTCGAACGGCTGTTTTTATAGTTCCTTAAATTATTGTAGTAGTTTTTTTATCTCATATTATAATTTTTATAGCGATTAGAATCTTATTATATAAGAAAAGTTAATCAGAGTCAATTTCAATTGAGTGTCTTAAAGTAATCCGAAAATGCATTGGTTTTGCTTTAATTCGGTCTATGTTTGGTCCAAAAAACTTGCGTCACTCTCAACCCATCAGATGCAAAACTGAAGTTAATCATGACTACGTCGCCCACGTTTTCCCGCGCTTTGGCAGTTTGCCTCGTTTAGTTTGAGTCCTCTGTTCTAATAAGTCATTTGGTTTTGCGACACTCAATCGAGAAGCGCTCTGAAAGTTACTTTTCGTAATGTATATACTTAGAAATAGTTATAAGCCCGTAGTTTAAGATCCATGATTTGGTAGAATTCCTCAATCTCCTACCCCAGGGGTCTCCTGGTCCCACATTATCTTTTCCCTTTGATATGTTCGACCTCCGCTACCTCAGAACTCCATTCAAGATGAAGTTTAATTAGCAGGATCGTACCGTACTTATACGAATTACATTTGTACTGGCACAGTTTGTGCATAGAGGCTTTGTAAACTTTTTTTTTTCTTTAATAAGTTAAATTTTCAAGTTACTTTTCTCTGCTTTGCTTTGCTTTTGTCGACATCAAAGGAAAGAAAGATGAAAATAAACAAAGAAGCTGGAGAAAAAGCGTTTGATTCAAAAAAATATTTTTTGTGAATAAATTTTTTTTAATCATCAGTTGCTGTTGCTATGTGTAAGTCTCCTAATCGACGTTGACTCCCAGAAGTGATTCACATGAAACTTCTCTCTACAGTATCCTTACATTGTTCAACAAACAGGTATGATGAAAATGCTCAAAGTCATCAGGAAAAAGTTGTTATCCTGATCTGACTTCAAATTCTCGTAACTAATTTACAAGGAAATGTGTAGCAGCTAAAGGGGAGAAGTCACAATCAGATCTTAAAGAGTTGAATTACTGCTCTGAGCAAAACCATATACTTTAAAAGCGCAAAAGCTGATGGTCCCATCCACCCTGTTAGCAGGTTGCAACCTGGGATAATTTAGCATGTCGCGTTGGTCTCGCGTAACACGGTGAACAAGTTCTAAGGATTAAGAATCATATAGTGCGCTCGTAAGTGACCATGCGCCCCTCCCAAGAAAATCATCTTCAGTATAGAGGATTCCACCCTGCAAATGTTTAAGCCACTGGAGATTTCAACCACATCTGCAAGTGCCTTTGCTTTATCAATCCGTTATAAATCTCCCATTTTCCATTTGAGAAATCATCTTATGATTAAAGCATTCCGGAGATATTTTACCGGCTCTGCTAGAAGTTCAAGCAACTGGAGATTTCAACCGCGCCCACGGACTTCCCATAAACTACAAATCTTAAAAAGATAGTATTTTCTGGAGAATATATACTCTTTTATTATATCTGGCGACCATGGTATTCGATATACTGGGATAAGAAAGACACTCAGGGGGAAATTAAAGAGAGACTTCCGTTGATGTCCACTATAGTATTAAGCTGGTTTACTCAGAAGTATCCAGATCTATACAAGAATTTGATCCATAATTCCAAAGTGCTGACCACATTGTTTGACGTGTGCGCTACACTGCGTCACATCCCGTTGTATTTAAATCATACCAGTGATACAATAACTGGTCAAAGTCTCTTTACTAAAATTTACAAGCGGTCACCTCTATCAATAAAGCGGTCGGGGTCACTCTTTACCAAGTCTCAACGGCCTGTTTGCATTGTTCCCCACCCGTATCCAAAGGTCACTTACAGCACAACCACTCATATGAACTAAAAATAATTTTTTAAGTAAATTGTAATGCATGTTTATCTACAAAATCAATGTCAGTAGTAGTTTTGAGGGAGTTTTTGGAAATTAGTAATCAATGATGGTCATTTTTGTCGTTTTTATAATACACACTTACATCGTTCTAATGTCACAAAAACTTGATCTTGATTGATTTATACACGTTCGTGATATTTCACGTAAGGAAATTCGGAAAAGTTCCGTGATGACATTCCGAGATAAACGGAACTAACTTCGAATTAATGGCCGGGAAACATCATTGTAAAAACCAAAATGAATAACCTTATTTGGCTCAGCTGTAGTTCCTCATCCATATAAGGAGCTGGTCTCAAACTTCCCCACAACGTTAGCAAAGTAATGACGATTGAATGCGCGCACACGATTTTAAACTTGAACCCTTAGGTCGACGCGTGTTTGAAAACGTTCGAATGCAAGAATGGAGAGTTCTATTTTGAGTGCTCAAAATGTACCCGGTTATAGCATAGGAAAACTTGATTCAGCCACGCAGTCTCGTGCGTTTGTCTACGGGTACTTTTTTTCGGGTTAAGGCAAGCTTTGTGAGAATGCCTTACTGGTAGCTGTGCATGCCATATTATAACGGCAGTTGTACTGTTAAAAAAAGTGTTAAAAGGGCAACGAGTACATCTTACACTCTCAAACCGAATGCAGTTACGTTGCCTCTGCTTCGCTTTTAAACGCCTATATTGAAGTCATCCGTTGCTTTGTTCCTATTAGTACGAGGTTTGTTCAAGATAAACGTATAACCAGTAACAGGTCCGTTCTGCGCAAGTTACACAAACAGCAAAACGAGACAATTTAGTTACTTTGTTTCTCTATTTCTTTCTTAGACAAAAATAAACATTTCAGCTCGGCCACCTTGAAAAAAACAAAAACAAAACAGGTCACTAACCTTCCTGAACACCAAGATCTTTGATAGGAAGAACTCAATGGGGTGATACCTTTTACTGCCAACAGTTAATTTTTTTTCTTATTTAAAAGTACCGCTTAACCCAGAATGACACAAAATAACGCATTCTATCGAAATGAAAAACATTTACGGTGATTTTTCTCGCGAACAACGCTTAAAGTTTGTCAATTTTTTCGCCCGATGTTTTTTTATACCGATAAGGACCGGTTAACCCCATTGAAACCCTTTGTTAATTGTTGATGAAATAACTTTAAGCCTGTGTCTTTTACCAGCAGTAAATTTCAAAATAATTGACCGAGGACTTTTTACTATTAAAGACCTTTATCATTATAAAAAGAAACACGCCCATCAGCTCCAACCACAAAGCAACCAGGAGCCCATTAGCTCCTGCTAATCTATGTAAATAAGAATTTTTTGGGGCCACGGTTTTAGCTAGAACCGTGGTTCTTGTTTTATAACTGCTGTTCGCAGAGTGCGGCTGCTCACTAGTTTAGTTAAAAAAAAAACGCGAATGGAGCAAGGTCATTTATCTTCAGCGTTCGCTTTTTGAACTTGCACTGCTCTGCAGAGTTCATTAATGTGACACTTAAACTAAAATCAATACATTTACCAATGTTCTCCGAGGTCAACTTACTAAGATGTTAAGCTACAAATATGACTATCAGACAGTTTGTTACCCTTGTCACTTCATTGTTAAATGTCCAGTACAACAATAATTACGCCTTTTTTGTAGGATGTAACAGCTCAAGAAAGAGCCTTTTTTAGACCCTTTTAATGTATCTAACACTTCGTCTTCATCTTTCCACACTGATAATTAGGAATGTCTGTTATTTTCGAAACTTCCCGAGACCTTCTAACGCTTTTATTCATTTTCAGGGACTTCGACACTCATCCGGTATTACAGGCCCTCCCGGTCTTCCAGGGAGCTGTATGAGGTCAGCGTCATCCAACACCACTACCCCCACAGTATTTTGCGCACCAGGTAAACAAGGTCTTAAAGCAATGAAAGGGGACAACGGAAGCCGTTGATCACTGGGCCACCCTGGACCACGAGGAAACAGAGGCCCACGAGGAAATAGGGGAAACAAAGACCCCATAGGAAAAAGGGTGACATTGGGCACCCAGGAAACTCTTCTGATCTGGAATGTGTCCCTCAGTGCACCAGTTGGGTGAATAGAAGTGAGTGGTTCGAGAAATATCCCGAGGTCCATTGTGATAGGAGAGAATTCTCACAAGTCTTCAGTGTGGAAGAAAGCGATGCTCGCGGGCAGAGAAGATACAAATACACTTGTTGTACACTTGGACTGACCAATGGTCCTTGAAAAGTTCAGCAAATGAGCTGAGTGCAGACCAAAATAAACAGCCAACAAGCAATGACTCAACTCTCAACAAACAATGGACGGAAATTTTGATCGATGACAAATTTGAAGATAGTATCTCTGAAGAAATATGAGATACGACAAAAGGGTTTTTTATGTATTGAAGAGAAGATACGTACAGTTAACTACTTTTGGGATAACATTTCTTGACTATCCGTGCCGTTCATACATACACTTTCTGTCAACTCGAATTATCAGAGTAGCTCTGTTAAGCTAGTATCTTCGAGGAAGAAAAATATTTAAATCAGTTGAATCATTAAAATACACTAATTAAAATTTCCACTAAAAGTTCGTTTTCTTTTTCTTTATGTCCGTCTTAAAATCTTTAAACGATGTCATTGTTCTCATACTGTCTGGGAGCGAATTCCATATTTTTGCTGCTTGATATTGGATGCATTCAAGTCCGTAATTTGTTGTTCTAGGTATAGGTAAGGCCAGAATATTCTTTCCTCTTAATGAATAACTGGAGTTACGAAGAACGAATAGTTTTTTTATATATCCAGGATACCTAGAAACAAATAAGCTCTTGAAAACTACGTAAGGATTTTGTGAAGTCTTCCAGTGAATAGGGATGCTATCTTTGCTTTCTTTAATAGTTCATCATAACTAGACATTGAATCATTGAAAATAAATTGTAAAATATGTTTGTTCAAAGACTCCAATCAATCACAATTTCTGGTGCCACAAAAATACCAAATAAGAGAGCAACATTGAAGGTGTTGGAGGATAAAAGACTTTTATAAACGTAACATGACATTTCTGGTAATGATATTTTTAAATCTCTTGAGAACACTTGATTGTTTGTTAACCTTCTCACATATCTGTGAGATGTGACGATTAAAACTCAAATCCTTGTCAGTAGTTACACCCAATAAATCGATTGAATTCTTAACGGAAAAAGAGAATTCATAACTACTGTACGCGCTAAGCACCATTGCTTAGCGCTTGTACGGATTTAAAATCATTCCATTTCGCTAGTGCTCATACCAACTGTTAGCAATTTCAAGTTCGCGTTCCAGCTGTGTGTTTAGTGTTTCTAGGTCCTTGTCAGACGAGTACAACTGTTGATCATCGGCGCGAGCATTCAGGCATTCTATGGCTGAACGGGTTTTTATCAAATTTCAAGTCTTTGGGCGTCAGGTGACAAAATGTACTAGTAAAGTCACACGAGAGGAAAGGCGACTTTTAGTTTGACCCTTGGGATCTATCAATTTCACCTAAGTTATTTATAGACAATCGATCAAAATGGAATTTAATTTCCGGGAATTCCTCAACAGGCTTACCTTACCATGCTTATCATATTTATTTTGTTGCATTATGAAAACACAGTCTCAGCCCGTGAAACAGAGCAACGGGACGAAAATATTTTTAAAAAATGCAATACCAGCGGTGTTGGGTTACGCGAATAACTTTCAAGATAATTACTTCCAAGGACAGATACTGACATTCTATTTGTTATGACGTATCATTTGATGTTTAATTGTGGTCAAACTTCTAAGAACCCTTTTATCGAGCGCACACTTAAAGTCATACCCTAAGAGAAGGGAAACTAAACGAGGGGAACTAAAACTTATTGAAAAGATTCTAATTCCTCTCGAGAAATCGAATCTCATTCAATCCAATTTCGCTGAGGGTGTTGTTAACAATGATCACCTACAACTGCTTCCAACCAGAAAATCACAATGCATGAGCTTCGCATCCTTCATTGTTCAGGGTTATCCCTATATAAGATGTTACCGGGCTGAGTTCTTTTATCAGGACCCGAGTGTTGAAAGGTTGGATAACGCTATCCACTGGATAAATCGCTCTCCGGTGGATAGCGCAGCACGTTTTCTTAACAGTTATCCGCTGAATATTGATTTATCCGTTGGATAGTGTTATCCACTCTTTGAACAACTGTGCCCAGATCTATAACAAAGGACATTCTGTTGGTGAGTTTTTATTTTCACATGATAACAAAGTCAAAGAGATTACGATAACGGTTCGAGTCAATCACTGTTCCTAATTCGCTACAAAAACTGTTCCTATAGAAAGGGCCTAGTGAAAGAAGAATTCAACTCGAGGAAATTTAAAAGACCAAAGGATCTTGACATGATATCAAAACTCTTTTCTACACACCAAAAACCAAAAACTAAAAACTATAATAAAGATTATGAATATGAAAGCATATTTGTATCGAAACTGCCTCGGTACTATAATTAACTAAGAAAGGAAATTGCAACTTAAAAATGAATTCAATTTTACAATAAAAATGAAACATTCGTAAGTTTCAAATTGAAAAACATCACGAACACGACCTCTTATCGAGATAAACTGCTTGGCTCTACAAATAAAGTACATGATCCTTTGAAATAAATTGTGTGAACAAATCTTCGAAGTTTAACTTCTGTCAACTCATTCCAGAAAGAAAAAAATTATTCGCTACAATTTTTTTAACTGAGGAAGTGCGCACCACTTCTTGAGTCTTTTGAAATACTTCAACTACTTCAATCGTAATCGGTAAACTGGAATTAATGTTTTAAAATTCAATTGTAAGTCACAAGCACAATCTACCATAGTTCACCTACTATTCTGCAATGCACTGTTGTGTCTTTCATACTCTGTATCAAGGAATTAAATAAGGTTATCGATACAAAAGTTTCAAACTTAGATTTCGCCTTAAAGACCTAACTCAGCAACTCGTTCAGTTTTTTTCCTACTGAAAGACAATGTCGTTAAGTGCCGAGATAATTAGGACGTTTGAAAACTGCGACATTTTGTTTTTAAAACCAAGCTATATTGCTGAAAATACTGAGGAAATTCTTGTCGTCGGAGAAGTTGGTTTCAAATCGTTGCTAAAAACCGTAAGCAGGGATCTTATCTCTTCTACAAACAGGATAAGAGGTGTCTGAAAGGTAAATAGAAAATATTCATTTTAACTTAGGTTTGAATACGCTCCTGAAGTAAGACTTGTTTAACGCACAGATATTTGTAGAAGTATCAGAAATCGGAGGAGTCAGCGCAGAGAACAATTAACATTTTCGATACAAGCTATGCGTGGCAACAGCACCGATGACAAATATTCCTTTCACTCATTTTGATATACATTGACATCACGTCATTATGTTTATCATTACATATCCTTGGAAAAGTTTTGGTTAAAGTCTTCCTGCAAACCAGGATATCATTTTGCTACTCATTGCAAATCATACGTTGTTAATGCGTGACTAAGAACAAATCATCTTTAAGGCTTAAGGGCCGTTGCAGTCAGCTACTCAGAGCACTAAAAAATTGAATGGCAGAAACTTATAGTTTAGCATGATAACTTCCCTTCGTGCAAATATGATGTGGCTTAATTCAAAATATATTATCAATTAATAATTGCCTACTTACATTTGACAATATCCAAAATGCTATCTTCAATTTAATTCCAGTCTGACGTCATCCCCAATGAGTACAAAGGGTGCCCAGTACTTCACATCGCTGAACTCTTCAGACTCTTTCATCCTCTTCATAGCTTGGTTAAGAGCTTCACTTGCAAGCTTCCCAGTAACCAGTTCTTCATAGAAATGTTTCATAAACACAAGAGTAGCCTCGTCATCAATCGCCCACAGCGACACGAGAACAGAGCGAGCACCGGCACCCAAAAATGCTCTTGCAATTCCAACAACTCCCTCAGCCTTAATCTCTCCACGACCACTGTGACAACAACTTAACACAACCAGCCTTGCTCGTATCCGGATATCCAAAACATCTTTCATTGTTAGAATAAAATCCTCCTCAACAAAGGGCTTTGATGGGCAAGTACTTCGTGGCGCTAAGGCAATTTCGCCCGTTTCCATTCGGCCATGTGCAGCAAAGTGCACCAAAGCAACAAAGGGAAGTCGCCTCAACACTTCATCTTTCTTTGCTTCTTCACCAATAAGCGGATCAGCACCAAGGATTCTGCCGATGATCACTACTTCTTCTCTTGCACATGGCAGTGAATTGAGCGTCCTCTCCTCGAAAAGAACCCCCTCCAAACATGGATCACCCACGAGTAAAGCACTTTTCTTATTGTGGAAGTCGTCTGGGTAATCATTTATCAACCTCAAAGTAGTCAGGGATGGAATCGTTCGAACTCGGAAAGAGTCACGCAAATAATTTGACTCGGAATCCATCAATGCAGCAAAAGGGACTGACCACAATGAACTCTCGGGAACAAAGATAAGTTCATTGCCATTGACGAGATCACCAATCGGCTCAATGATAACGTCATACAACATTCGTAAAGCAGTTTTCGGTGAGCATTCAGTAGAGAAATAAGCATGACCTGACCTTTTCTTCACCAATTCTTCAGTACAGGGCTCATCAGGAGAGCGGTTTTCGCATTTAATAACACCTCTTTTAAACTCTCTGGATACTGTGTCCATTAAGCTTCCAATAAAGGTATTGACATCTTCGAACGAGCCATAATTACGTATTTCAATACTTCTCAATTGAATATCTTGAAAGCTGTTAATAAACCAGTAGAATATCTTGCGTTCCTTATTATCTACAGCCATAAAAACTGTATTTGAAACAGCACCGCTTACAAGAACATCAAAATCAAAATTCCCTGGCCGAGGTTGTATTTCTTTCAACCCATATCTAAGACAAATCAGATCATTAAGAGCCTGTGCACGTCCTTGTTCAGCAGATAGAAGCGCATCCAAAATTTGATTTTGTTCTAAATGAAGACGCCACAAACAAGTATATGCGTTTCTTTGCATGTCGCGGAAGCTAATCTTCCAATGATCTCTGAACCGCAGATTGGCTCGGATAGCATCAAAAATTATCACAGAAGAACGATACAGGTTAACAGCTCTTTCTAGATCTCCCAACTCCCAATACACATTGGCCAGATTACCGTAACTTCTTCCCTCTCCAGCCTTGTCTCCCACTTCTTTAGCAATTTTCAGGTGACGTTCATGATACTGAATGACCATTTCGAAATCTCCTAAGCGATAATAAGCATTGCCGAGATTTCCGTAACTCTTTCCCTCTCCAGCCTTGTCTCCCACTTCTCTGGCAATTTCCAGATGACTTTCATGATACTGGATGGCTCTTTCGAAATCTCCTAGGCTATGATAAGCATTGCCAAGATTGCAGTAACTCATTCCCTCTCCAGCCTTGTCTCCCACTTCTTTGGCAATTTTCATATGACGTTCGTGATACTGGATGGCTCTTTCGAAATCTCCTAGGCTATGATATAAGCATTGCCGAGATTGCAGTAACTCTTTCCTTCTCCAGCCTTGTCTCCCACTTCTTTGGCAATTCTCAGATGACGTTCATGATACTGGATGGCTCTTTCGAAATCTCCTAGGCTATCATAAGCATTGCCGAGATTGCCGTAACTCTTTCCCTTTCCAGCCTTGTCTCCCACTTCTTTGGCAATTTTCAGATCACGTTCATGATACTGGATGGCTCTTTCGAAATCTCCTAGGCTATCATAAGCATTGCCGAGATTGCAGTAACTCTTTCCTTCTCCAGCCTTGTCTCCCACTTCTTTGGCAATTTTCAGATGACGTTCATGATACTGGATGGCCATTTCGAAATCTCCTAGGCGATGATAAGCATTGCCGAGGTTGCAGTAACTCTTTCCCTCTCCAGCCTTGTCTCCCACTTCTTTGGCAATTTTCAGATCACGTTCATGATACTGGATGGCTCTTTCGAAATCTCCTAGGCGATGATAAGCATTGCCGAGATTGCCGTAACTCATTCCCTCTCCAGCCTTGTCTCTTACTTCTTTGGCAATTTTCAGACCACGTTCATGATACTGGATGGCTCTTTCGAAATCTCCTAGGCTATGATAAGCATTGCCGAGATTGCAGTAACTCTTTCCCTCTCGAGCCTTGTCTCCCACTTCCTTGCCAATTTTCAGATGACGTTCATGATACTGGATGGCTCTTTCGAAATCTCCTAGGCTATGATAAGCATTGCCGAGATTGCAGTAACTCTTTCCCTCTCTAGCCTTGTCTCCCACTTCCTTGCCAATTTTCAGATGACGTTCATGATACTGGATGGCTCTTTCGAAATCTCCTAGGCTATGATAAGCATTGCCGAGATTGCAGTAACTCTTTCCCTCTCCAACCTTGTCTCTCACTTCTTTGGCAATTTTCAGATGACGTTCATGATACTGGATGGCTCTTTTGAAATCTCCTAGGCGATGATAAGCATTGCCGAGATTTCCGTAACTTTTTGCCTCTTCAGCCTTGTCTCCCACTTCTTTGGCAATTCTCAGATGACGTTCATGATACTGGATGGCTCTTTCGAAATCTCCTAAGGAAGATTATTTCTCCTATTACGGATACTAAAACACCTCAACTTGTACTTCTATTTTAAACTTACAAATCTTAACTTTAGCGATGTCTCGCAACGTACGCAATCGAAGGAAATTTATCAGACTCGAGACAGAGTATTTAATACGCAGACCGGTGAAGAAATTGAAAACAGTACATGGGCGCGCGTAGATATGGAATTTCTATCCGAGGGGTCATAGCCCGAGGCGATAGCCCATGAGAGAAGATAGGGGAAAAGGTGGAAATGTTGGGTTGAACACTCGAGGAGAAGTTTCATATCTACGAGCAACCACGTATTATTATTATTTTTTTTTTAAAGATAATAGTCTTTATTGACAGGAAAAGTCGACTTCATTAATGAATGGAAAAAAAAAGATCCTCGATGCTCGAAAAAAAGGTCGTAGAGTACGTGGGCAATAAGGCTTCTCGCAATTTTACACGTGTGCTGTTAGGGCATTATCCAGGCCTGGAAATCCTTGTAAAACATCGCAGTTTATATAATAAGTGTGATGATACAGCAGCTTTTTTTATTAAACTGTCTGAACTTACAACTTAATTTAAAACACTTTATGAGTAGAAGGATTTCAAAATGAGAAATTTGGAATTTTCATTCCGCTTTTAAAAGAAGGTCTGTCTAACGGAGAGTCGAAATTAAGCCATAAAAATTAAATTGTGAAACGATTTTAAAAGATCAGACAATGTTGAACTCCACTACAAGCTGTTTGCTTGAATGGTCAACTGGTCAGATGAGTCCAACCTTTCGGTCATGCTCGGAGACAATTTCTGCATGTCTCAGGAAAAGCATAGAACTTACCGATTTCTATTGCTTCAGTGAAAGTTGGTGCCAATTGAACAGACACTGTAGCATCATCCAAAGCTTCTTGAGAATTTCCTAACAAAATAATTTTCATGTGAGTACGGAAGTGCAATTTCTCAACTTTCAGAATTGGAGTCTACTTTAAACGCAGCAGCTAATAATGTTTTCTCAGTGCTGGGTAAGTTGCCAAATTAGCGAAAAAGTCTTGACCATCTGAATTTTAGTCTGTTTGTTTTCGACCTGTTTTTCTCATATCTGATTGGCTAGTTTGAGAATCACAATTTTAGTGTCAGGTTTTATCACATCTTTCAATTAGCGAGCGGACGAATATAAAATCGGCCAGAAAGCGTGACGTTGGTGACGGGGCCGTGCATTTAGCCTTTGACTGAGGTTGCTGCAAACGCAACAAAAGGTTTCCTTCACGCACTCGATTCGAACTGTAAATGATTGTAATGAATACCTATCAAAATGAATACAAAATTGGTCAAGCATAATTGATCAGTTGTTACCCAGAAAGAGCTGAGCCGCTGCTCTGTTGCTATAGAGTTTGGCGTTTAGTTTGATATCTTTGCAGGACATTTGTGGTCCCTTCGAGTAAAAGTGTATTGCATTGTTGGTTTCCCGTTTACTGTACTCGTTATCGCCTTCTTTCAAGTACACCTCCGCTATCGCTAACAGAAAAGTAAAAACATCCATGATATAGAACATAACTGAATAGGGATGCACAAAATAGTAGCCTGACATAAACAGATGTGTAAAATATCCAGGAGAGCAGCAGTCTGAATTGGCTGTCAAACGTTGAAGTCATTTTGTTGACTTGCAAAATATGTTTGCATTTTTCCTGTTACATGATGACTAGGCGGTACAGGTCCTTTTGTATGCCCCTCTTAAAAGGATTGCGTAACCCTAATTGACTCGATGACCACACCTAATTGAATAGGTTGTGCTTATTTTAGTTGTTATTGTTACCTTTAAAGGTTGCATCATCAAACTGCAATGTACCATCGGACTGTGAAACAGGCAGAACGTCTATAACGAGAGAAAATTAATCAGACAAGTATATAGGGGATAAAGATCTTTCTGATCTCCCTGTCGGCCTCGAGTCATTGTGGCACAGTTTCAAACCTAAATTGTACCAAACCAGCTGAGATGTAAAAATCAAATACGTTGCAACATTTTGCCAACATAGAAGAACACTGATAACTTAATTCAAAACAACGTATATCGCGGTATCTGGAATAATAGTCAAACTCTATCTCCAGTGTTTGATATATCTTTTCCATCGAAACTAAAATTAAGATCTAGAAGTGGCGAAATAAGATTGTGAAAAAGTACGCCGTTTAAAGAAGATTTCCAATCACACGCTACGGTAACGACTGTGTTCTTAAACACTGATTAACGAGGTTAACGAACAGATGTATGTTGATCTTATCGACAAAATCAGCAAAAACGTCAGGTGCTGGACTCTAATCGAGGCGGTAGTGAGAGGAAGAACGATAGAGATCTGAAGATGGACGAAAGAAAAGTAGATAAAGAGGAACTGATTTACCTGGAGAGAGGTACTGGGGATAAATTTTAAAAAAAGATTGCTCTGGAGGTCCCTTTTCATAACGTTAGGAACCCGAGTGTACCAAAAGAACAACAGTTTTTCTAAGTTTTGTTTCGTTTTGTTTTTATGTTCCTTACGAGATCACATTGGATATTTTATATACTCTTAGAAAGGCGATACTAAAAGTGAGTTAGGTCAAGCAGTTCATAACTTCATACTTCCAAATTTTTTCTGTCAGTATAAGAGTTTTGGCGTGGAACTGAGTTTCCCTTTAAATTCAAAAATTGGCATCTGAAATATGATAATAAATCACACCATAAATTCACCTTGTGACTAAGACTTGTAAGACTAACTTCCTCACCTGCTTGAATATCATCAGCTAAATTCATTTTTAAGTCAATGGATTTGACCTGACGTTCCTCTGCAACTGGAAAGGAAAACATCACGTTCATGGTGAGACCATTACCCTTAAAAAACAAGACCTTTCACGAGTATTTCCCTTGTGGTTTTACTTTTATTTCTCATCATGCTTGAGCAAAACTGTCAAATAATGTGTTTTGTCAATCAAGCCCCAAACTGGAAATGATGATCATGTGACATTTTCCAAACAGAAAGTTGACTTTAACTAAACTGTTTTTCATTCTTACCGTCTGTAGATTTCCCATCATCAACATTCACCTTACCACCTTCCGCCATCACTGAAAAAAGAACCAATTACTCTAAAACCTCATAATATCAATTTTGGGCACAATCTTACAGGCTTTGGTTGTGTTAAGCTTAAATCGATAAGAAACGGCTTTCAACATTAATGGCTCTTTTAGTCGAAAATTCAAC